TACAGGTGTACCTCTGATGGAGATACCCCTTTATCTTCGATGGTTGATGCAAAACATCCTATCGTGCTAACAAGGACCTTGTCAGGATTATCATAATTCTCCATTTCTTCTCCCAATTAGATGTTCGACGAAGTTCAATATTCATTTTTTCTATGACTCTCTCATACTTGTATTTTCCTGTTACTGGAGTTGATGAGACGACATGAATAACATCATCTGCAAACTGTGTCACAATTGTGTCATTAAACTCTGGTTGAGGAAGGTCATTCACATAAATGTTAAACAAAAGTGGACTGAGACAAGAACCTTGTGGGACACCAGCCGTCGGTATAAAAGGTTCTGTCGACTTGCCATGAAAGGTGGGAATGATTTTTCTTTGAGTTAAGAAATTATAAATTACTCTGAGAAAAGTCCAGTTATGGTCTGGTAGGTCAATGAGTTTGTATATAAGGCCATCATGCCATAAGCTATCAAAAGCTTTATGAACATCTCTGGTGGCAATTAAGGCAAGATTGCCCTGCTGTTTTAGACTTGCTACAGTGTCAAAAATAACATTTATTGCATGATTGGTACCTCTATGTGTTCTAAAGCCAAATTGTTTTTTCAGTAAACAAGTGATTAAACTCCATATAGTAATTCAATCTGTTGAAATGACTTTCTCAAGAACTTTTCCAGTGACTTCAAGTAAAGATATAGGTCTATAGTTCCCAGGTTGGTGGATATCTTTATTGGGCTTAGCAAGAAAGATCATTCTAGCAGTCTTAAAAACAACTGGAAAATGTCCTGAGGCCAAGATGGCATTAAGATATTTACCAAGGACTGTTTGCAATTTCTAGGTAGGTACTTTATTTGTTTCATTGTTATTCCAGAGAGGCCAGGGGCTCTATTTCTCATTCTTCCAATAACCTGACTTATCTCTAGTAATGTAATAGGTCTAGTAAGCGGGTGGGTATCTTCAAGAGTTGAAGTATCGATGGTAGGTAGTGGTTGTAGATCATCCAAGTTCTCATCTCTCCATTCATTTACTAACTGATAATGATTATTATTAAATTGACGACTGTTATTATGAGAGAGAATTTTCTCCCATACTCACCCATCAAATTAGCCTGGTCCTGTGGATCATCAAGTTTAATTTCAACATCTTCATCATCTTCATCAGTGAAGGTATGAACTAAGTAGTTAGGAACCTGTGCTTTCTCCCCTAAAAGTTGTCGGATCTACTCCAAAATTTTGCTGGTTCACGTTTATTTGATTAGCTTGAAGAACTAAAAATTTCCATATGTCTCGTTTGTGTTGACTAATCATGTTAATAATTCTTGCCTTAATCGGTGCAATGTAGCTGCTGGTGTTGTCTTGTTTGTAGATGCCTTCTACATTCTGCTTGATAATTTCTTAAAGTATCTCTAATTTCTCTAGTAGGCTTATATTTTGTATATCTATTGTGGAAGCTAATTGGCAAGTTGCATTGGTAGCTTCAATTATTCGATTGTGCAGGGACCTGATTGCATCATCAATTGCACTGGAAGGTAGATTTTCCAAAGACACAATTTCATCATCACCCAGATATGCCCTGAAGGGGGTCAAATCCTAGGGTGTTAAGATTGGTTTAGGAGTTACAGGTATTCTAAATGGAGAAGTTTGTAGTTGTATTATAACAGGGATATGGTCAGATCCTACATTTCCACCAGAGATATACGACAGTGAAAGATGTCACAGTCCTCTGTTTGTCAGTACAATATCTGGTGTTCCTGGATGAGGTCCAATGTACGATTTGAAGAATGGGCCTTGAAATGATAAGTTTCTAGCTGTCATGATATTAAAGAGTTGTTTTCCTTTTAATCACCCAGTGGAATACCAGCTCCACAGTTTGAAGAGGGCAGGTGATGAGCATTAAAATCTCCAGCTAGAATTGTTGGAATATTTCTGCTTAATATCCTATGTAGAGGAATTGACTCTATATATGGCTGTCTCGGGGAAAATATCCAGTTCCTATTACTAGTTGTCCATGCGACGTTGTTAGTTCTATTGCAAGAATGTTATCTTCATCCACATGAATATTTTTAAATGTATATCCTAATTTAACCAAGATGGCTACACCACTAAACTGTCCTCTCGATTTCTCAACAGTACAGTATCCACGTAATTTAATATGTTGATCAACTCTTGCAGCTGTCTCGTTCAAAAGTATAACATCGGGATTATAGTTATGTAGTTCAACCTCAAGAAGGTAACGGTTATTAAAGAAATGTTGAACATTAAGTTGGAAGATTGTAATCCCCATTATTTCTTATTCTTCGATCGTACACTGCGTTCTGAACGCCTACAAGTAATGTCATGTGTTGTATCTACACTATTCCTGCTGGACTCGTCAAGGGGAGGAGAGAACTTTTGCGTGGATGCTTGTGTATTAAAAATGCCATCCTCTTCACTAGAGGCAGTAATATTAACAGACTCATTAGAATCGTTAGAGTCGTTAGAATCGTTAGAGTCGTTAGAGTCATCATCATAAAACTGAGGTATGCTATTCTCAGTTTCAGGAAGCAGAGGCTCGTGAGAGTTAATGGGAGACTGTGTAGGCTCCAAGTGAATATTAGATAGGCAAGGTGAGTTACCTTGGGAAAGTTCCTGTACAACAGGATCAGCTACAATAGCGAGAGAGTAGGCACCACTTTCTGGGGCATTGTTATGTTCAGGTGTTGACTTATCGGGTTGAGAGGAGTTGACAACCTGGGTTTGCGAGGAGGACGATCCTTGGGCCAGGGATGACTTAGGCTTATTTTTAGATGTAGAGTATGGTACATACTTCTTGTTATGAGAAGGCTGGGTCATAATGGCCTTCACATTTTCAGGGATAATGATGGGAGTGATCCCATTAGCCTTTAACATATCATTTAAAACACGAGAGCAGAGTTGAATGTCACCACCAGCTGTGTCTTTGGCCACCAAGTACATTAGTTGTGCTCTCATTATATCCCCGTCTGTGGATACCTGAGGCACATGAGATGCGACTGAACCTTGTTGTTGTGTCTGTTGTAAGTGAGGGTTAGATTGGGGCGCTCCAAGAGGGGCAGAATTCCAAACATTGGAACCATTGGTAGAGACCTGAGGAGTCCCACTTGATCCAGGCAGAGCTGGGAAGGAAGTTTGAGACATGGTTGGCGGTGCCTGGGGAGTGGTCTTCTTAGAAGTGGATAGTTTCTTGGCGTCAAGAATTTTCTGTATTTCCTTTTTTCTTTCAGGACAAATAGCAGAAACAGCATGATGTTTTCCATTACAGAGGACACATTTAGGTGAATTTTTATTGTTACAATCACGATAGGAATGTTGGCCAGAGCAAATGCTACAAATTTGCCCTTGTGTACTGCATTTGTTGTTGTTATGACCAAAGGCATAACACTTGAAACATTGTGTCACACTGACAAAGCGTTCCAGAGAAATTTGATCAGGTGTACATCTTGTGCCAAAACATTTGAAGCCATTTTGACACACGAGTTTTGCCTCCTCAGGTGTCTCGAGTATTAATTTTAAAGTTACCTTATTGTTGTTTTGATTCGAGAATTTGTGTGCTTCTACAGCTCTAAGGTCAGAATTCTCGGCATTAATGTTATCAACAATTTCATTAACAGTGCTTTGTTTCATAAAACTGTTGATTCTGGCCACAAACACAGTCCTCTGAGCTTGATAGCTGTCAGGTGCAATTGGGATAACACCAGAAGTCTTCAGTTTATCCAAGACATCATGCTTTAGGAGTTGAAGTAACTCTTCTTCCGAAGAGAGGAGAAGTACTGCTCCAGCGTGGGTTTGAAAAACATCCACTGGAGCAACAGTTGAGTTAGAGCAAATACAATTAAGAATGTCTTTCATGGACATTTGATTACCAACAATGTGTAATCTTACACGAATCCTCGCCATGATGCCTAGGAAGGAGCATCTGGCAGAGGAGTTGCGTAACAAAAAGGTATCTTTCCTTAATGTTAGCCTAACATCCTATTTCAGCTGACTTATGAAGGTCAGCCCCTAAGATAGCCTACCCTCGAGTAGTGAGGGGAAAGGGCCCAAGGCAAAGATCGGCTGGATTTTAAAAAACCACACGGGCTACCAGATGGTCAAAATGCCTTGTGTTAACTCGCCAAAGCGAAGTTGCCGAAAAATAAGAAGATAGGACAGTCAGAAGGATAGCAATGTATGTAGTGTGTTAAGTGTGTGGGCCAGTGTTGATGTATGGGTGAGGGGAGGATGGGGAAGGATGGGGGGATGGGGATGAGAGGGGTGAACAAGCAAGCAAGTCACCGCCTTACCCTCTTGATGGGATGGGGCTCGAAGTGACTGCAAGCAAGTCTCCTCTCAGCTCTGGTGAAGAACTACTCAGGATAACCCAAGTAAATTCTCGAGCAACAGTGTTCAGAGTTGCTCAGCTGAAGAGCGGGAACGACGACGTCTTCTCTCCACGGTGGCTGGGCTGCTTCCAATTTGTCGTATTTCTGTATCTTGTCAGTACAATACAAGGATGTGGGAAAAAACTAAGACCACAAACTGTAGCATAGCGTAAGTCTGGTCCTGGTACTCAGACCAGATGTGCTCCACTACCATCTCAAGGGTGGTTCTTTGATGCTGTGAGGGGCTCTTAATCCAAGAAATTGGACTTGCCCTCCCCTTCCTTGGATCATACTTAAATACCTCCCAGACACTATATGACACCTATGGGTTTAGTGCTTTCCCATAAATATAATAATAATGCACTACCGTCAAGAAAAGAAAGACTAGGTTCTCTACACATATGCTGCTATGTATGATAATCTATGTAACGTATTTGTATATACCTGGTAAGTAATTACTAAATTTGTTGGATTATTAACTCATATCTTAAAGTTACGAAGGTGCCTCACGATGGTGGGTGTTTCTGTGCTCTAGTTCAGGCTGCGATTATCACACAGTGGAGGGAGTGATTGTGAGGGATGAGTAATAATAATAATTACAATAATAATGGCACTCATTTACAGCTCTCTCACACAATGTGCAACACGACGACAAACACGGGGATGCCTCAGGACGCGACATCAGGGGTCGACGGGGAAATCAGTGGCGATAACGAGGTGGTTACAGACGACTCCAGCACCAAGAAGGCAGAGGATGAAACAAGGAACAGTAGCAGCCCTGAAGACCACGATAAGGTAGTGGTTGAGGTGGAGCCAGACACTGGCCCCAGAACACACTCCAAAACTCACTCAAGCAAAAAGCGAGAGAGGTGAGTGGATCCAATTGTCCTGTCCAAAATATTAAAGAAATAATGAGTATAAAAAGCCAATACATACCCAACACTTAGGTATCTTTATTACCGAAATGTTTCGCCTACACAGCAGGCTTCTTCATTCAAATTCAGACGATTATAACACTGGAGACAGTGTATTTGACTGAAGACGCTTGCTGCGCATTAGTAACGTTTAGGCATGAGGGATACCCAACTTGTCAGTGTTGTATATTATAAAAAATACGTGTGTGAATATCAGGCAAGGTAACAAACAATGGTGTGCAGATACAGCAAAAAACCTCAGGAGTTAAACGGCACTTAATAAAATTTCTAAGGGTGAAATCTTTCATAAATTCAAAGTTTATCTTTGCTATATGTCTTTAAATACCAAGAAAAATCATATTTTGCAAGATAAGCTATACAGAGCGAAACGTTTCCCTAAACAAAGCTTGTTCTGAAACCTGTCTCTTACCAGCTTGATGTATCTTTTATATACAAACTTAGACGATTGTCACTCGAAATGAGTTTTTTTTTTTAATATTCAGATTATTTTCAAGGTGGCATCTAGGCCAATTCACATAGTATTGTCAGTGCCATTCATACCTCGAGGATTTTCACTCTCATTTCCATTCCAATTTGTGAAGTTATGCCCGTGCCTGTGGGGAAGGGGGTCAGCCGGTACAGCCCCTTCAGAGATTCACAGCCGGGGCCCGGCTGTGAATCTCTGAAGGGTCCCAATAGCCATAAACGTTTTATTTTGATTTTTCATTTGATTCAATTATTTTTAGTTTACTTAGAAACAATAATTATGCAAAATACACCTAGACTGGGGCCCCTCAGCCTGCCCCACCCCCAGGGGCCCCTCAGCCTGCCCCACCCCCAGGGGCCCCTCAGCCTGCCCCACCCCCAGGGGCCCCTCAGCCTGCCCCACCCCCAGGGGACCCTCAGCCTGCCCCACCCCCAGGGGACCCTCAGCCTGCCCCACCCCCAGGGGACCCTCAGCCTGCCCCACCCCAAGGGGACCCTCAGCCTGCCCCACCCCCAGGGGCCCCTCAGCCTGCCCCACCCCAAGGGGCCCCTCAGCCTGCCCCACCCCCAGGGGCCCCAAAGCAGTCTTGTTCCGCCTTGCAATATATTTCTCATTGAGACCCGAGTTCTACAACTCTTCCTGGAGTTTACCTGGAGAGAGTTTCGGGGGTCAACGCCCCCGCGGCCCGGTCTGTGACCAGGCCTCCTGGTGGATCAGCGCCTGATCAACCAGGCTGTTGCTGCTGGCTGCACGCAAACCAACGTACGAGCCACAGCCCGGCTGATCAGGAACTGACTTTAGGTGCTTGTCCAGTGCCAGCTTGAAGACTGCCAGGGGTCTGTTGGTAATCCCCCTTATGTGTGCTGGGAGGCAGTTGAACAGTCTCGGGCCCCTGACACTTATTGTATGGTCTCTTAACGTGCTAGTGACACCCCTGCTTTTCATTGGGGGGATGGTGCATCGTCTGCCAAGTCTTTTGCTTTCGTAGTGAGTGATTTTCGTGTGCAAGTTCGGTACTAGTCCCTCTAGGATTTTCCAGGTGTATATAATCATGTATCTCTCCCTCCTGCGTTCCAGGGAATACAGGTTTAGAAACCTCAAGCGCTCCCAGTAATTGAGGTGTTTTATCTCCGTTATGCGCGCCGTGAAAGTTCTCTGTACATTTTCTAGGTCGGCAATTTCACCTGCCTTGAAAGGTGCTGTTAGAGTGCAGCAATATTCCAGCCTAGATAGAACAAGTGACCTGAAGAGTGTCATCATGGGCTTGGCCTCCCTAGTTTTGAAGGTTCTCATTATCCATCCTGTCATTTTTCTAGCAGATGCGATTGATACAATGTTATGGTCCTTGAAGGTGAGATCCTCCGACATAATCACTCCCAGGTCTTTGACGTTGGTGTTTCGCTCTATTTTGTGGCCAGAATTTGTTTTGTACTCTGATGAAGATTTAATTTCCTCATGTTTACCATATCTGAGTAATTGAAATTTCTCATCGTTGAACTTCATATTGTTTTCTGCAGCCCACTGAAAGATTTGGTTGATGTCCGCCTGGAGCCTTGCAGTGTCTGCAATGGAAGACACTGTCATGCAGATTCGGGTGTCATCTGCAAAGGAAGACACGGTGCTGTGGCTGACATCCTTGTCTATGTCGGATATGAGGATGAGGAACAAGATGGGAGCTAGTACTGTGCCTTGTGGAACAGAGCTTTTCACCGTAGCTGCCTCGGACTTTACTCTGTTGACGACTACTCTCTGTGTTCTGTTAGTGAGGAAATTATAGATCCATCGACCGACTTTTCCTGTTATTCCTTTAGCGCGCATTTTGTGCGCTATTACGCCATGGTCACACTTGTCGAAGGCTTTTGCAAAGTCTGTATATATTACATCTGCATTCTTTTTGTCTTCTAGTGCATTTAGGACCTTGTCGTAGTGATCCAGTAGTTGAGACAGACAGGAGCGACCTGTTCTAAACCCATGTTGCCCTGGTTGTGTAACTGATGGGTTTCTAGATGGGTGGTGATCTTGCTTCTTAGGACCCTTTCAAAGATTTTTATGATATGGGATGTTAGTGCTATTGGTCTGTAGTTCTTTGCTGTTGCTTTACTGCCCCCTTTGTGGAGTGGGGCTATGTCTGTTGTTTTTAGTAACTGAGGGACGACCCCCGTGTCCATGCTCCCTCTCCATAGGATGGAAAAGGCTCGTGATAGGGGCTTCTTGCAGTTCTTGATGAACACAGAGTTCCATGAGTCTGGCCCTGGGGCAGAGTGCATGGGCATGTCATTTATCGCCTGTTCGAAGTCATTTGGCGTCAGGATAACATCGGATAGGCTTGTGTTAATCAAATTTTGTGGCTCTCTCATAAAAAATTCATTTTGATCTTCGACTCTCAGTCTGGTTAGCGGCTTGCTAAAAACTGAGTCATACCTATCGATTGCAAAACGTTTCGCTAAGGCTTCATTTCACCCGTTCATCACCTGTGAAGAATACTTTTAACCCCTAAAATAGGGATTACATAGATATACACAGATGTACAAACCTCTCTGTGCGTATACATTGATTGAAATATACATAACTTACGGTAGTTTAGACACATGAGTAAACACTAGGACTTATTAATTAAAAACGTTTCGGTACTGGGATTTCGATCACTTAGAAATACGTTTCTGTGTATATACACTGAGACATATCTCTGTGTATGTAAACCGATGCTACTTAATAGTATGCTAGGAAACGACCTACATACACCAAACAACAGCACATAAGAGACTGCTTTCACGACGTTTCGCTCCATCATGGACTATTGTCAAGTCCAGTATGGACCAAAACGTTACCGAAGTACAGACTTTTTGACGAATCATTCCAGCGACAATATCGTGGCGTTGTTCCCTCACACCTGGATATTATCCAGTTGTTGCGTGGGTGTTAACACCTTAAGATAATGTACATGACTGAGTGAGAGTGATTGCACTAGTTTTCTCAGCACATTGACTTTTAAGTGTGGCGTCTACCATTACTCACAAAAACCGGTTCTAATGTATCAGAACTCTTACCAGGAAGAACTAACCTGTCACTTGATGCATTTCAGTCGCTGGAGGACCCAAGAAATGTATTCCCTGTACCTCAATCCACGCGAAAGGCATAGTGCAGAGTGCGGCATAAGGTTATAATGATCATAGATCAGCATCGCAAAACACATTATAACTAATTTTGAAGCCGCTCACAAGTTTCATTATCAACCTATTGGATTCAAGGTTTGAATCCAATTGGATGAGGCATTCACAAATTATCTTACCAAAAACAGTATTTCATGTCTAGTTTCCTTCTTGTCTAATAAGACAAGCGATAATTTATGTATCCAATAATTTCGCAAAAAATCATTCTGAACCTAACGAAAAAATATATTTCATTGTGTTTATTGTTAAATTATTGTAAACTTACCTAAAATATATTTAGTTTGATTAGGCTAAATTAAATTGCGCTTGTTATAATAAGGTTAGGTAAGTTTTCTAAGGTTCTTTTGGTACAAAATTATTAATTTTTACATTAACATTAATAAAAAAAATATATCTAAACGTATAATAGACAATTTTAGAAAGAACTTAATTTTAAACGAGTTCTTGCTAATTGACCAATTTTACCTATTCGGCACGACACACACACACACACACACACACACACACACACACACACACACACACACACACACACACACACACATGACACACACACACACACACTTAGAGTTAAATTCCAATTTATGCCATTAAACCATTCGTGATGTCAGTGCACATGTGAATTTCAGCCTTTAATAACCCCCAGGCACTCGACAGGCTTCAAACCAAATAACCTAACTAACAATCCGTCGTGTCTAACAGCTGCTTGAGCCGAACGAGCCGATGGGTGACTGAAACACTAGAAGACTTCTTTGAAAATCATGGTATTCGCGTAGCGTCTCACCCCAGTCTGACAGCCGCTCTCTGCATGCTGGTGTCAACATTGTGTGCTCTGGGAACTCTCAGTTTCACCACGGAACTCAGACCTTATCATCTGTGGATCCCTCAGGACTCGGAGTTCATAAAGGTAAGCTTAGAGTCCATGGCTGAGGCCGCTAAGTTTATTTAGGTACAGGTACACATAAGTACAATTACCATAGATAGTAATATAAGTGTAAATTACCTAGGATAACTTAAAAAAGTTAGAAAAGTGACTTATTTACATTGGGTCTATCGAGGACGAGAATATCGTTAAGTATTCTGTTGTGATGTACCAGCCCTCCTTAAAGAAGATCTGGACGCTGGTGACTAGACTTTAGATCAAAGGATTTGATCTAAGTCGGATCCTGTTTGCCTCCCATCCCCCTGGGACTGTTTGACCCTTGTATGTGTTTCAGGGCTTTCCCCGTGAATGTAGTAGTTGTGGTATTAGAATTATTATAATCATGGGGGAGCGCTAAACCCGTAGGATTATACAGCGCATGTAGGGGGGGAATGGAAGGAATTCAGGGTCCTGTAGTAGTGGTAAAAATAATATGATGTATGTTATGAAATGTTTATAATATAAAGTATTGTCTACAGGTCCTGAACTGGCAGTCGGAAAATTTTCCGAGTTCATACCGGCGCCACATGGCCGTGTTGGAAACGGACAACGTACTGACGGCGCGATCAGTACAGGAAATGTGGCGCCTTCATACCAAAGTGAAGCAGCTCTCTGTGGGAACCAGTCACGCTACTTGGGATGCCCTCTGTGCTCGTGTGCCTTCCCTGCCCATGGATGAGGAGCCACAGACAGACGATGCAGACTTCGAGTACGGGGTTTTGGAATTCAGACGCCGCCGTGATCTATTTCAAACTCAAACAGAGGACTTGAGCCTAAAGTTGCCCCGAGATCAATACTGTGACAGTGTGTTTAGTCTGCCGAAAATATGCCTAGAGACCAGCCTTCTTGAGGTGTGGGGGCTCGATGAGAACATTATCATGAACTTAACAGACGAGCAAGTGGTACTTGATGTCAATTCGGCACGACTGAGTGAAGTTTTTGGCTATAAAGTGAATTTCACTAAATACCTAGGCAGCGTCGTATACGACGAGACGGGACGAATGGTGGGTGCTAAAGCTGCCATGCATATGTGGGTGTCTCAGGTGAATCAGAGCGCCCTCGACCTAGGGAACAGTGTAGTGGATCAGGGCACCGGTGAGCTCGTCGACAAGGCAGGCTTTGACTGGGAAAAAGCTTGGGTGGACACCATTCTGAATGATATCTCACGACCAAGGTACATCAAAGTTTATGCTCATGCTGCAAGCAGCTTCGGCACTGTCAGTGACGAGAATATTTGGGGTGATGTGAAGTTGCTAGTCATCGGTTTTGTAATAATGAATATTTTTGTAAACATAACATTGGGACGAAGGAATCTTGTACAGCAGCGTCCAGTGCTTGCATTTTTAGGATTGATGAGTGTAGGGCAGGCTGTGGCTGTGTCCTATGGTCTCTGTTCACTCGTAGGCATTCCCTACTGTCCCGTTAACTCAATTCTTCCCATTCTCCTAGTAGGCTTAGGTGTAGATGATATGTTCGTCATCATGGCAGCGTGGGAGGCCGCTGGATGCCACAAAGACGTCTCCGGGAACTATATAAAGCGTGCTGGTCTAACAATGCGTCATGCAGGGGTCGCCATCACTGTCACTTCACTGACTGATGTGACAGCTTTTGCTGTGGGAGCGTCAACAGATTTGCCAGCATTACGATCTTTCTGCTTGTACGCTGCTGTCGGCATATTTGCAGTGTATCTGTTGCAAGCTACATTCTTTTTGGCCTGGTTAGTGAGGGATGAAAGTCGATTGGAAAACAATAAAAACGGCCTTCTGTGGTGCATAACACACAAAAATTGGAAACCCTGGGGATGCAGCGAGAGAGATTTGCTGTCAGACGCCTTCCAGTATGGCTTCTGTCGCTTTATTATGTACACACCAGTTCGTGTGTTCATCCTGGTGGGATCTGGCTTCCTCCTGGCCTTCTCAGTCTGGGCCACCATGAACCTTCACCAAGAGTTTAACCCTATGTGGTTCATACCTCAATCCTCTTATTTGTATGAAGCATTCGAAGTCTCCTCGAAGCACTTCCCCGAGGCAGGAGAACGCGGTTATATATACTTCTCTAATATTACCTTACCTGATGATCTGCCTGAGCTAAATAATTTAATAAGTGCTTTGATGGAAAGCCAGGTAGTAAGCTCGGTAAATGCATGGTTTACTACACTAGATGAATATATGTCATTCATGCCTAATTTAGGCAACATGACTCTCACGTATTCCTTACTGCTCGATGCACTTTCCATCTTCCTTCAGTCTTCAACAGGAGCTTCATATCGGAATGACTTCTCTTTGGATGGCGTTCTTGATTGTAAACACCCGGCTCCTCCTATCACTTCATTTAGAATTGAAATCATCCATCATCCAACAAACTCCCGAGCAGAGCAAACTGTTGCTTTAAAAACAGTCAAGAACTTACTGGAACAAATGCCAGTAGGCGGGTATAGGGCTGCTTGGGCCCAGGTGTACAGCATATGGGAAACCAATGAAATAATCGGGTACGAGCTGTGGAGGAACATTATACTGGCGGGAATAGTAGTGAGCAGTGTTACACTGCTTCTTCTGGCATCCTTCTCGGCCTCTATGTTGGTTCTGGGGTGCGTTGTGGCCACTGTCATTGGGGTGTCGGGAACCATGTGGTTGTGGGGTCTTACTGTAGATACTGTTTCCTGCATAGCCATCGTTCTTGCCATCGGGCTCAGTGTGGATTATGCGGCACACGTAGCACACGCCTTCTTAACCACACGCGGCATCGCTGATAAAAAGAAGAGAGTTCAGAAGGCGCTGGCGAGCGTTGGTCCTGCTGTATTATTGGGTGGACTCTCCACACTCCTTTCTTTCGTGCTCCTTGCAGGCTCCTCCTCCCACGTGTTTGCCACTTTCTTCAAAGTATTTGTAACAGCTTCTATATTAGGACTCTACTACGGACTTGTTCTTCTACCCGTGATCCTCTCCTTAATTGGTCCAGCAGCTTATGCTGAGTGCGAGGCAGCTAGCGACCCTCCTGACATACATGTCACCAGCAGTATGGAAGACTCTTCACAACACCCACAAGACTACACTAACTCAGCGTATTCTGATTGTGACAGTAATTCTAAACAGATCTCCATAGCATCGTAACATCTTATATAGCTAGCCTATACCTGTGTACATAATGTAGTTAATTGTTCCTTATGTGATATATGTAAATATCTATAATGGTTATTATTGCAGAATATAGCAAAATATCATATGCGTATTCGTGTATATAAATCGATAACAAGTTATTATATGAACATAAGTTATATCGAAATAAACCTTTAGATTGTCTTTGTGTTTGATTTAGGGACCTTTCCAGCCTTGTAGATCAAACAAGTTTGTTATAAGATGATACATCGTATAGGAAATACATAGCACTCATTTTGTCATGCATGGAAAAATCTTCAGTTATGCAGTGCATTTTGGGGCAGAAATCTAGCTGAACGGTTCATATAAGGGACATTAAATCACAGAGGTGAGGCTCGAACCCATGGCAAGCTAATCCTAAAACTTGCAGACCACTGGTCCATGCCGGCCTTATTAGATTACTCTAACTAGGTTCAGCGATCTCTTTAAAGGCGTATTATTACGATTTCGTGAGCACATTCATGTATATGGTATTTAAGTTTGATCCGAGAAAGGAGAGGGTAATTCCCATTCCTTACCTGGAGTTTACCTGGAGAGAATTCCGGGGGTCAACGCCCCCGCGGCCCGGTCTGTGACCAGGCCTCCTGGTGGATCAGAGCCTGATCAACCAGGCTGTTGCTGCTGGCTGCACGCAAACCAACGTACGAGCCACAGCCCGGCTGGTCAGGAACCGACTTTAGGTGCTTGTCCAGTGCCAGCTTGAAGACTGCCAGGGGTCTGTTGGTAATCCCCCTTATGTATGCTGGGAGGCAGTTGAACAGTCTCGAGCCCCTGACACTTATTGTATGGTCTCTTAACGTGCTAGTGACACCCCTGCTTTTCATTGGGGGGATGGTGCATCGTCTGCCAAGTCTTTTGCTTTCGTAGTGAGTGATTTTCGTGTGCAGGTTCGGTACTAGTCCCTCTAGGATTTTCCAGGTGTATATAATCATGTATCTCTCCCGCCTGCGTACCACTTAAGCCATCGGTTTATCCTAAGGACCCAGGATGTTTCTTGGGGACGAGGACCACAGACTACAATGGAAACTAAATGTATTTAGGTCCCCAGGTGTTCTATAACCCCAGTCTCCTGTGCCTTAATGCACGCGATTAGATTATTGAAGAGTGCGGCATAACTTAACAATGCAGTTGAATATTAGCATCGAAGATTTGAAGAAAATCAGAAGAGGCATTCACAAATCATCATATGAAAACTAATATTCCAATTTCTTCAATAAAAATAGGAAATTAGAACATACACAGCCTAAATCTAATTCAAAGGTTTCAAAGAGATCAATATCCAAAAATACACAAGCATTAAGCCATTAGGCCATTAAGCAGTCACATTATCGAAGTTATCATCAGGGAAATATAATAATAAGTCACTGATTAGCTGTCTATGTTATCCTATGTTAATAACCATGAGTTATAATACCAATCAAGTTTTCTTTGTATTCTTATCCTATTTTTATTCTATGGCCAAATTTGACAATATATCCTTCACGGATTCTCAAGGACCCCAATGGAAATAAGCCAAGGCTGTCAATGGAAATAAGCCAAGGCTGTCAATGGAAATAAGCCAAGGCTGTCAATGGAAATAAGCCAAGGCTGTCAATGGAAATAAGCCAAGGCTGTCAATGGAAATAAGCCAAGGCTGTCAATGGAAATAAGCCAAGGCTGTCAATGGAAATAAGCCAAGGCTGTCAATGGAAATAAGCCAAGGCTGTCAATGGAAATAAGCCAAGGCTGTCAATGGAAATAAGCCAAGGCTGTCAATGGAAATAAGCCAAGGCTGTCAATGGAAATAAGCCAAGGCTGTCAATGGAAATAAGCCAAGGCTGTCAATGGAAATAAGCCAAGACTGTCAATGGAAATAAGCCAAGGCTGTAATGGAAATAAGCCAAGACTGTCAATGGAAATAAGCCAAGGCTGTCAATGGAAATAAGCCAAGACTGTCAATGGAAATAAGCCAAGGCTGTCAATGGAAATAAGCCAAGACTGTCAATGGAAATAAGCCAAGGCTGTCAATGGAAATAAGCCAAGGCTGTCAATGGAAATAAGCCAAGTACCTCAACTGAAATAAGTCAAGGCTCCCCAATCAATGGAAATAAGTCAAGGCTCTCAACGGAAATAAGTCAAGGATCCAAATGGTAATAAGTCAAGAATCTCAACGAAAATAAGTCAAAGATCAAAATGGAAATAAGTCAAAGACCCCAGAGGAAATAAATCAAGGACCAAAATAGAAGTAAGTCAGGGACAGTTTCACTTCTTTATTATATGACCAAAATGAAAATCAGTCACTTTGTCTGATTTCTGAGTTATCCTAGATAATTTACACATGTTATTATGTATGATAATTGTGGTTATGTGTACCTGTGCCTAAATGTCACTTATAATAAGAGATCAAGTGGCAAGGATAAATAAGGTGAGCTGTCAGTGTACCTTATTACTGACAACAAGCACCTGAGTGTGGAGACCCTGGCTCACTCAGCACCTGATTACCCCAGTCACTCAGCATCTGATTACCCCAGTTAGTCATCACCTGATTTCCCCAGTCAGTACCTGATTTACTCCTAGTTTGCAATTGGTTGTCATCCCCCGTCAGTTGCTGATTTCTCCCAGTCAGACAGCAACTGTTTGGTTTCTTCTAGAAGGTACCTGATTTCCCTCCCCCGTTTTTCCCAGTCAGCAGCTGATTTCCCTCGACTCAGTCGCTGATACCCTCTCTTCCAGTTAGTAGCTGATTTCCCACGACTCAGTAGCTGATTTCCCCCGACTTGTAGGTGATTTCCTGCAGTCAGTACCTGATTTCCCCCAGTAAGCAGGTGATTTTCTCCAGTCAGTAGCTGATTTCCCCAGTCAGTATCTGATTTCCTCTAAATACCTGATTTTTTCCAGTACCTGATTTCCTCCAGCTCAGTACCTGATTTAATTAAGTTTATTTAGGTTCCATAAACAAGTTTAGATTTTTTTTAGTTGTCTTATATAGTGACAAAGTATTATATATCACTATATAGTGACAGTCTTATATAGTGACAGTGTATAGTGATACTCTTATATAGTGATACTCTTATATAGTGATACTCTTATATAGTGATACTCTTATATAGTGATACTCTTATATAGTGATACTCTTATATAGTGATACTCTTATATAGTGATACTCTTATATAGTGATATTCTTATATAGTGATACTCTTATATAGTGATACTCTTATTAGTGATACTCTTATATAGTGATACTTATATAGCGATACTCTTATATAGTGATACTCTTATATAGTGATATTCTTATATAGTGATACTCTTATATAGTGATGCTCTTATATAGTGATACTTATATAGTGATACTCTTATATAGTGATACTCTTATATAGTGATATTCTTATATAGTGATATTCTTATATAGTGATACTCTTATATAGTGATACTCTTATATAGTGATACTTATATAGTGATACTCTATATATAGTGATACTCTTATATAGTGATATCTTATATAGTGATACTCTTATATAGTGATACTCTTATATAGTGATACTCTTATATAGTGATACTTATATAGTGATACTCTTATATAGTGATACTCTTATATAGTGATACTCTTATATAGTGATATTCTTATATAGTGATATTCTTATATAGTGATATTCTTATATAGTGATACTCTTATATAGTGATACTCTTATATAGTGATACTCTTATATAGTGATACTTATATAGTGATACTCTTATATAGTGATACTCTTATATAGTGATATTCTTATATAGTGATACTCTTATATAGTGATGCTCTTATATAGTGATACTTATATAGTGATACTCTTATATAGTGATATTCTTATATAGTGATACTCTTATATAGTGATACTCTTATATAGTGATACTCTTATATAGTGATACTCTTATATAGTGATATTCTTATATAGTGATATTCTTATATAGTGATATTCTTATATAGTGATATTCTTATATAGTGATACTTATATAGTGATACTCTTATATAGTGATACTCTTATATAGTGATATTCTTATATAGTGATATTCTTATTTAGTGATATTCATATATAATGACTATAGTGACATTCTTATATAGTGACAATGTATAGTGATATATAATGACAATGTATAGTGACATTTTTACATAGTGACAATGTTAAGTAATGTTCTTATATAGTGACATTCTGTATAGAGGACATTCTTATGTATGTAGTGACATTCTTATATAGTGGCATATTCTTATAGTGTCATTCATATGTAGAAATCTATTCTAATATAATGACATTCTTATATAGTGATATTCGTATGTAGAAGCATTCTTATATAATGCCATTCGTATATAGAGACGTATGTATATCTATGATAATTTTTCAACAGTTGTGAGTGATGGAGAAGCCTCAGGTGCTGGTGTACATAGAGAAAAGCTTAAATTACAGTGCCTTCGATGTCAAGTGGATACCCAGGTCGGCCAAGCTGGTATCTATTGGCAGCCATCCCCAGGGCACTGGGGCACTGCAGGTACTGATGTCATACTTATTTTAAGTGCTGCTGGGGTATATTCACGAGAGGTTTGCTTTGCAGGGGCATATTCAGGGGGAGGTTTCCTGGTTGCCCAGAAACTGCCCATGCTGCTTGTCTGAAGTACCTTTTAAAGCGTTTATGATATACAGTACCATTACTATGCCTTTGAAGAGTTTTGAGAGTTTTTCTTCGTCCATATCCCGGCTCTGGTCCAGGTTTGTCTGGTGCTTGATTGGTCAACCAGGCTGTTGGACACTGAATATTTATTCTCTAAATTACTTCTTGATTAACTTTTCAAATGTAATAATATCCATTGCATATGTCCTCTAAATTCCCTGATATTTATCAGATTTAAAAAATTCTGGAAAGGGGGATTCTTCAAAAAACCTCTACCATAATCCTGGGTATGCCCATGTTGAATCCTATGATGGTAAGTGGGTACCTTGAGGGCAGTGATGGGCTCTTCTTCTAAGACTCTGGAGCTGTCCTCCCTTTCCTTGGGTCAAATCTGATTGCCTGCCTGCCTTTCACTGCAACATGGCCCCTGCTAACTTAACATTTCCCAATGAATAAAATATTAGAACTGGGTCCCTGATGATGCTGATAAAGGGCTTTTGATCCAACGAATTGAAGCCACCCTCTCCTCCCCTTGGATCAAACCAGAGTGCTTCTGATTACCCAGATGCTTATAACACACATAGGTTTAGCAATTCCCATGAATAATAGTAATTATAATAATAATAATACAGTAATAATGATAATTACTGTATACAGTGGAACTTTGGTTTTCATGATTAATCTGATCTAAAAAGTCTGACGAAAAGCGAATCGTATGAAAACTTAAGCAATATTTTCCATAAGAAATAATGTAAATCCAATTAATCTGTTCCAGACACCCAAAAATATTAACAAAAAATAAATTTTATAGAGAATATAGTTTTACATGCTGAAAACAATGAGAAATATAAATGACTAATGAAATGGATAAATGAACATTTAACATCACATTTACCTTTAGTGAAGACTCTTGGCATATGGAAGATGGCAAGGAGAGGAGAGAGAGGAGAAGAGGTTATTGTTTGGAAGGGAAATCCTCTTCCGTAAGGACTTCAGGTATCAAGGCCCTATCTGGGGTTACTTCCCTTCTTTGTCTTTTAGTGGCACTAGGACCAGCTTGAGAGTCACTGTACCCATGTCACACAAAAAATCTGTCCAGAGAGGTCTGTTTCTGTCATCTCTTTAAGATTTGCCTAAAATGGGACAAGGCATTCTCATTGAACATGATGCAGACATGGCTTGCAACAGCTTTGTTAGGGTGATATTTCTCCACAAAACTTTGCAACTCGCTCCACTTTGCACACATGTCCTTAATCACTGAAGAAGGCACACTCTTCCCTCTCTCTTCCTCCTCCCCTGAAGCAATTTCCTCAGCTGCAGTCTGTTGCTGTTCCAGTTGAAGGTCTTGCATCTCTTCAGTGGTTAGCTCTTCCCTGTGGTCATCCACCAACTCTTCCACATCCTGGCCACTCACATCCAACCCCATAGACTTCCCCAAAGACACAGTAGATTCCACAGTAGGCACAGGGTCGTCAGAGTCAGCTCAAACCCTTCAAAATCCTTCTTGAGGACACATTTTGGCCACAATTTTCTCCAAGCAGAGTTCATCATCCTAGAAGTCACTCCCTGCCAAGCCTTATCTATAAGGCTTATGCAGCTGAGGATATTGAAGTGATTCCTCCAGAACTCTCTTAGGGTCAATCCAGTGTCTGAGGTCACCTCCAAGCACAATTGAAACAGTGCTTTGGTGTTGAGGTTTTTGAAGTTTAAAATGACCTGCTGGTCCATGGAATGGATGAGAGGAGTGGTATTAGGGGGCAAGAACTCACTGTGATGAAACTAAACTTCTCCAACAATTGGTCTTCCAAGTTCGGACGATGAGCAGGAGCATTGTCCATTACCAGGAGGCACTTGAGTGGCACTTGATTTTGTTTTTCTTGAACACTCAGGGATTTTCAGAGTGATACACCAGTAAAGGCTTCACTTTGAAATCCCCACTAGTGTTACCACAGAACAAAAGTTAGCCTATCCTTCATAGGCTTGTGTCCTGGCAGTGCCTTTTCCTCCTGCATGATGTAGGTCCTTTTTGGCATTTTCTTCCAAAGGAGGCCTGTTATGCCACAGTTGAAGACTTGTTGGGGGAGGAATCCTTCATCCTCTATGTACATACTCCTTGAATTCATCAATGAATTCTTCGGCCCCACGTTTGTCCAAACTTGCAGCCTTGCCATGCCTTACCACACTGTGTATGCCAGTTCGCTTCTTGAATTTGTCGAGCCAGCCTCTGCTGGCCTTAAATTCACTAACAGCAGCACTCATTCCAAGCATTTTCTTTGCGAGATCCGCATGCAGCTGCCTTGCCTTTTTGCAGATTATCACCTCTTGATAACTGTTTATCGTTGATCCACACCAACAACAACTTCTCAGCACCTTCGATTGTTTGTGATCTCTGTTTCGTTACCACATTTACCTCTTTCGCAACATCATCAACATGGGAAGTCTGCATCGTTGATGTAGACTTCCCATGCATCCTGGTGAGATTGGCCATGCGTACGCGACTTTCGTACTTTGCTACGAGTTCTTTCTTGAATTATATCATGTTTCTAGCCTTCTTTATCAAAGGGCTGGCACTCGGAACTTTCTTTGGCCCCATGGTGGCTTATTTAGCACTCGCAATCAATAAACAAGCGCAAAAACAATAGATTATTATGAAATGTTTCAGATGAATGCGCAGGGTGTTGCTCACTCAATGAAAAACAAAGGCAGACTGAATCACGAACGCATGGGATGCTTTTTGTGGATGCTTGAGTGGTCGAGTCACATGGACATGTTTGGTACGGACCATTTTCAACTCTACAAAAACAGAGCGGATGTACGAAAACTGGGGACAAAATTTCAACGAAAAAAGTTAGCGCAAACCGAATCCTACGAAAACTGGGCCATATAAAAACAGAGGTTCCAATGTATTTATAATGATTATAATACGTAATAGCTATTATTGGATAATTCACTTTTATGGTGTAATGTGTTAGAAAATAAATATAAACCACCGTATAAAGTAGAACCTCCATATCTGCCGGTCGGGTTTCTGCGGTTTCAGGTATCCACTGTTTATCGTGGCCCAAAAATAACCCTAAAGTTTGCTTAATAATGACACCAAAGCACAACAGTACTGATGATGACAGTTGTTCAAAGCCAAAAAGCCAAAATAAAAAAGTGCTTATTGTGTGTAATTTATCAATTAAAATTTATCATAGGTATGTATGTAAATGAAAAATGACTTGTATGTAGGGTTCACTACCATTCATGGTTTCAGGTATCCACAGTAGGCCTTGGAATGAATCCCCCATGGATATGGCGGTCCTACTGTATATGATAAAATAAGTCGCATCTTTCTTGGAACATTGAACAAATAAATGATAAATTGTAAATAAAAGCTATATTAATTAATATTGGTAGAATTACTGACACAAGTGCAACTATTGTAACATTTTATTGTGGCACAGTTTCGCTCTCCAGAAGCCTTGTCAAGCTTGACAAAGCTCCTGGAGAGCAAGACATTGCCTTTTACGTAACAAATGTTGTCCTTTTACTTAACAATAGCTATATTACACTTTGGTTGACCCTGGACTACAATAATGGCTGGAACAAACTGAAATATTATTAAGCTTTTGTTTACAATTTTGGACTTGTCCTCCTCTTCCTTTGGATCAAAACTTGATTGCCTTTCATTCTCCAGCTGCTGCATGACTCCTTCAGGTTTGGTGCTTCGTCCTAGTGAGGGTGATAATATGCTACAGTTCGTAGTTTAGCTGTGAACTGTTCAGCTATGATATTGTGACTTGTTTTTTGTATATGATTTATATTCATTCATTTTATAGGGTTAACACTTGTTTTTAATATAATAAGTATAATAATAATTATTATACACATTTTATATTCTCAAGTTTGATGAATATTCAAAAGAAGTGGAGGCAAAAGCAGCTCCAGTTACTTGGATCAAGAGCATTTCTACTATAGAAGGACCCCATACCGAGTATATGGCTAATCTCAGAGTTTCAGGTCTTCCAGTAAATGTAGATATTAGATGTTATATTTATTGACAATGTTTTGTGTTCTGTTTTAGAGAGTGCAATTTATTTAGTTGCATAAACTTTTACATTGCATCAGTAAACTCTCACCACAATGAACCTCTATATAAGAAATTTGGAATAAAAACTGCTGTGTTCATTGATTTGGTGAGAATGGTCTGAGTCCATTAAAAAATAAAGTTATGATACAGTAAGTCTTGTACTTATGAACATGTTAAGAATTTTCCTAATTGTGTATAATATTATTATATCATTATTGTGTATAATATCATTATTATACACAATACAGGTCCCCAATGTGTAAGTTGAAGACTTCCTGTATTATGGATACAGCCTCTCCTCACTTAGCAACGTACTCATTTACCGATGATTTGGAATTACGACGGGCTCTGACCAGTACGCATACCTAAATACAGCTTCTCCTCACTTAGCGATGTACTCGTTTACCGACACCTTGGACTTACGACTGGCTCTCTGACCAATATTTATACAGTGGTCCCTCGCTTTTCGTAGTTCTCGGCAATCGTAAATTTCGCCAATCATAGGGGTATTTTCGTATAAACATGGACTCGCTTTTCATAGGTTGACTTGCGAGTCGTAGTTCGTCCGGGACGCGTACCCACAGCGTGAGCCGTGGCGGCAGCCAGTCTGGCATTGTTTACCAGTGAGCAAAGGTCCCCTCACGTGCTCCAGCGAAATATTTCATAATATTCCATTTATTTTAGTGCTTGCAAGTACTAAATAAGCTACCATGGCTCCAAAGAAAGCTCCTAGTGCCAAGCCTGTGGTAAAGAAGGTGAGAAATACGATTGAATTTAAGAAAACCATCATTGAACAATGTGAAAGTGGTACAAGTGTGGCCGAACTGTCCAGGATGTATAAGAAACCCTACACAACCTTATGTTCTATAGTGGCCAATTATTATTATAATCAAAAAGAAGCGCTAAGCCACAAGGACTATACAGCTATAGTGGCCAAGAAAAAGGAAATCAAGGATGCTGTTGTTGCAAAGGGAGTAACTATGCTGACAAAAATGAGATCACCAGTACTGGAAGAGGTTGAGAAGTTATTATTGGTGTGGATAAATGAGAAACAATTAGCAGGAGATACTCTTATGACTTCGATTATTTGTGAAAAGGCTAGGCAGTTGCATGAAGATTTGGTAAAGAAATTGCCTGCAAATAGTGATGAGTGAATTTAAGGCCAGCAAAGGCTGGTTTGAGAGATTTAAGAACCGTACTGGCATACACAGTGTGGTAAGGCATGGTGAGGCTGCCAGTTCGGACCACAAGGTGGCTGAAAAATATGTGCATGAATTCCAGGAGTACATAGAGGCTGAAGGATTGAAACCTGAACAAGTGTTCAATTGTGACGAAACAGGCCTCTTTTGGAAAAAAATACCAAAGAGGACCTTCATTACACAAGAGGAAAAGGCAATGCCAGGACATAAGCCTATGAAAGACAGGCTGACGCTAATGTTCTGTGCTAATGCTAGTGGGGATTTCAAAGTGAAGCCATTACTAGTGTACCATTCAGAAAATCCCAGAGTGTTCATGAAAAACAATGTTATGAAGAGTAAATTGTGTGTGTTTTGGAAATCTAATAGTAAGGCATGGGTCACGAGGGAAATTTTCATCGAGTGGTTCAATGAAGTGTTTGGCCCTAGAGTGAAGGAGTAACTCCTGGAAAAGAAATTGGATCTCAAGTGCCTGCTAGTAATGGACAATGCACCTGCTCATCCTCCAAACTTGGATGACCTAATTTTTGAGGAGTTTGGGTTCATCACAGTAAAGTTCCTGCCCCCGAATACCACTCCTCTCCTCCAGCCCATGGACCAGCAGGTTATTGCAAACTTTAAAAAACTCTACACAAAAGCAATGTTTCACAGGTGCTTGACTGTGACCACAGACACTCACTTGACCCTAAGGGAATTTTGGAGAGAACACTTCAGCATCCTCCACTGCATAACCCTTATAGGTATGGCTTGGGAGGGAGTGACTACCAGGACTTTGAACTCTGCCTGGTCCATGGGTTGGAGGAGAGGAGTGGTATTCGGGGGCAAGAACTATACTGTGATGAACCCAAACTCCTCGAAAATTAGGTCATCCAAGTTTGGAGGATGAGCAGGCGCATTGTCCATTACTAGCACGCACTTGAGATCCAATTTCTTTTCCAGGAGATACTCCTTCACACTAGGGCTAAACACTTCATTGAACCACTCGACGAAAATTTCCCTCGTGACCCATGCCTTACTATTAGATTTCCAAAACACACACAATTTACTCTTCATAACATTGTTTTTCATGAACACTCTGGGATTTTCTGAATGGTACACTAGTAATGGCTTCACTTTGAAATCCCCACTAGCATTAGCGCAGAACATTAGCGTCAGCCTGTCTTTCATAGGCTTATGTCCTGGCATTGCCTTTTCCTCTTGTGTAATGAAGGTCCTCTTTGGCATTTTTTCCCAAAAGAGGCCTGTTTCATCACAATTGAACACTTGTTCAGGTTTCAGTCCTTCAGCCTCTATGTACTCCTGGAATTCATGCACATATTTTTCAGCCGCCTTGTGGTCCGAACTGGCAGCTTCACCATGCCTTACCACACTGTGTATGCCAGTACGGTTCTTAAATCTCTCAAACCAGCCTTTGCTGGCCTTAAATCCACTCGCTTCACCACTATTTGCAGGCAATTTCTTTACCAAATCTTCATGCAACTGCCTAGCCTTTTCACAAATAAACAAAGTCATAAGAGTATCTCCTGCTAATTGTTTCTCATTTATCCACACCAATAATAACTTCTCAACCTCTTCCAGTACTGGTGATCTCATTTTTGTCAGCATAGTTACTCCCTTTGCAACAACAGCATCCTTTATTTAATTTTTCTTGGCCACTATGGAACATAAGGTTGTGTAGGGTTTCTTATACATCCTGGACAGTTCGGCCACACTTGTACCACTTTCATATTGTTCAATGATGGTTTTCTTAAATTCAATCATATTTCTCACCTTCTTTACCACAGGCTTGGCACTAGGAGCTTTCTTTGGAGCCATGGTAGCTTATTTAGTAATTGCAAGCACTAAAATAAATGGAATATTATGAAATATTTCGCTGGAGCACGCGAGGGGACCTTCGCTCACTGGTAAACAATGCCAAACTGGCTGCCGCCCTGGCCCACGCTGTGTGTACGCGTCCCGGACAAACTACGACTCGCGAGTCAACCTATGAAAAGTGAGTCCATGTTTATATGAAAATACCCCTGTGATTGGCGAATTTTACGATTGCCGGGAACTACGAAAAGTGGGGGACCACTGTATTTCATGTAAAAATTTTTTTTGTTTTAATACTTCTGGGTGTCAGGAACGGATTAATTGTATTTACATTATTTCTTGATTCGTAAATTTCATTTATAGTAACGGCTCCAGGAACGGATTAATTACGAAAAACGAGGGACCACTGTACCTAAATAATGTACGTATATTAGACCTGATTTCCTCGATTCTTTTTATTACAATATATACAGTAAACTACTGTATAATCACTTAAAAATATACCAAAAATGTCATAAATGGTGCAAAGGTGACATTAAAACAATATCGAGGATGGTTGACAAAAACTCACCAACATTATAGTATGCTCCTTACTTACCGACGAATTCGTTTACCGACGTGGTCTTAGGAACAGAGCTCCATCATTGAGTGAGGAGAAGCTGTATTATACACAACTGAGGAGGTCCCCAATGTGTTGGTAAGTTGAGGACTTACTGTATTGTGGCAGGAACGATTCACCAAAATCCTGTTCTTAGGAGAGGAATCTATGATGATGTTTTGGATCATTCTGGATCATTGTTTACAGAACTGTTTATTGTTGTTATTATCATGAGAGAACATCTTCCATCAACCACACTTGTCTTACCAGCATACTCTCTGCTAGTCTCCTTTGCTTTTTCTTGTCTTAGACTTCTCTCTGCTGCTCTACTGCTGCTGCTGCTGCTCTTCTGCTTGTCTGCTGCTCTTCTGCTGACTGTTCTGCTGCTTCTTCTGCTTGCTGCTGCTGCTGCTTTTTCTACTGTGCTCTTACTCTCTGCTCTGCTTTACTACTGCTACTTCTCTCTACTTTTGTGCTACTGCTTATACTACTTCTGCTGCTGCTTTTTTCTACTTTTTTACTACTACTACTACTACTTTCTACTATTTACTCTACTAACTTTTACTATTCTACTGCTGCTGCTTCTGCTGCTTACTATCTACTACTTTTTACTACTATTCTACTACTTTACTACTACTGCTACTTTTACTACTCTACTCTCTACTATTTTACTACTACTACTACTTTTCTACTAATTTTACTACTACTACTACTTTTACAACCACATTTACTATTACTACTAGTACAAACTTACTCTGCTGCTCTACTACTACTACTTCTTTACCTAAACACACTACTCTGACTCGTGTCACTAGCCATAACCTACATACTACTACTCACTACTACTACTACTGCACTTAACTATACTATACTACTGCCACTACTACTACTACTGCCACTACTATACTACTGCCACTACTACTACTACTACTACTACTACGCCACTACTACTACTACTAACTACTCACATACTACTACTACTGCCACTAACTACTGCACTACACTACCACACTACTACCACCACTACTACCACCACTACTACTACCCTACCACTACTACCACCACTACTACCATCACTCCTACCACCACTCCTTCAACTACTACTATTACTAATACGACTACTATGATGACAACCACTACCGCCACCACCATTTCCTTCATTTTATTTTTTTTCTTCCTCGCTTTCTCCCCTCCCCACCTTCCTCTCAAATACATATATATACTGCCCCCTACCTTCACACTTCTGTATGTGACTAGTTCATGGGCCAAGTCGGACTGAAGCATCATCATAAACTCTTTCTCTTGTGTGAGAGTTATTTGTGTATCTGGAGTTTATCTGGAGAGAGTTCCGGGGGTCAACGCCCCCGCGGCCCGGTCTGTGACCAGGCCTCCTTAGGTCAGTGTCCCAGGATGCGACCCACACCAGTCGACTAACACCCAGGTACCCATTTTACTGATGGGGAACATAGACAACAGGTGGAAAAGAAACACGTCCAATGTTTCTACTCTGGCTGGGAATCGAACCCAGGCCCTCACCGTGTGAAGCGAGAGCGTTAACCACCAGGCCAGGTTTCTTACACTTTTTTGTCAAAAAGGTGTACCTCATAAGTACAGTAGATCCTTGTCTAAGACAAGTTATATTTCTGAAAAAAAGATGTCTTATGGAACAATGTACTTTGCAAATGCGTCTGATACGCGAGTCTGCTGTGTGGTTTTGTAATGTATTAGTCTGTTTGGACACTTGTTCCTCAGTTTACATACACATTTTTTTGTATATTACCAGGTGTATGAGATGAGTGAAGGGGACCTCAAGTTGCTGCATGATGTGGAGCGGCCCAAAGCGTTAAAGTGTGGTATGGATTATTACGTATGTCCCAATATCACCAATTATTTGCTTGTCTAAATTTTAGAATTTACAGTGAGAATATTTTCTGAAGTACAGTGGAAGCCCCAAATATCGGCCATAATCTGTTCCAGAAGGTCGGCCTAAATTCGAAAAGGCCTAAATTCATAGCCTGCCTGCTACACTCCCTGCCTTTCTTCCACACTCCCTGTTTCCCTGCTACACTCCCTGCCTCCCTACTATACTCCCTGCTATACTCCCTCCATGCTACACTCCCTGCCTGCCTGCTACACTCCCTGCCTCCCTTCCACACTCCCTGTTTTCCTGCTACACTCCCTGCCTCCCTTCTGAAGTACAGTGGAACCCTAAGTATCAGCCGTAATCTGTTCCAGAAGGTTGGCCTAAATTTGAAAAGGCCTAAATTCAAGGAAATATTTACCTGCTTCCCTGCTACACTCCCTGCATGCCTACTACACTCCCTGCCTCCCTTCCACATTCCCTGTTACCCTGCTACACTCCCTGTATACCTGCTACACTCCCTGTATGCCTGCTACACTTCTTGTCTGCCTGCTACACTTCCTGCATGCCTGCTACACTCCCTGCCTACTTGCTACACTCTGCCTCCCTTCCACACTCCCTATTTCCCTGCTACACTCCCTCCCTCCATGGTACACTCCTTGCATGCCTGCTACACTCCCTGCCTCCCTTCAACACTCCCTGTTTCCTTGCTACACTCCCTCCCTCCATGCTACACTCCCTGCATGCCTGCTACATTCCCTGCCTCCCTTCCACACTCCCTGTTTCCCTGCTACACTCCTTCCCTCCATGCTACACTCCTTGAATGCCTGCTGCACTCCCTGCCTCCCTTTCACACTCCCTGTTCCTGCTACACTCCCATCCTGCCTGCTACACTCCCTGCCTGCGCCTTCACCTCACTCCCAGCCTGCCTGCTACACTCCCTGCCTCCCTTCCACACCCTGTCTCCCTGCTACACTCCCTGCCTGCCTGCTACTCTCCCTGCCTGCCTGCTACACTCCCTGCCTGCCTGCTACACTCCCTTCCACACTCCCTGTTTCCCTACTACACTCCCTGCCTGCCTGCTACTCTCCCTGCCTGCCTGCTACACTCCCTGCCTCTCTCCACATCTTCCATTGGGCCCAGGGTGGCTTATTTCACAGTCGCACTTAATAAACAAGCACAGCAGCCAATGGATTTTAAGGAAATGTTTGGATGAATGCACGGAGTATATGCTCATTCACTGAGAGACACAAGGAAACTGATCCACCCACGTGCAGCGTCCCAGCAGGAGGCGGGCTGACGCATATAATACGGCCGATTTGCTAGGCACCTGCCGAAATACAGAGCAAAAACTGGCCTAAATAGGATTCAGCTAATAAACGCAATGGCCGATATTCAGGGTTCCTCTGTAGATTAAATTTATTTTTAAAACAGGTTGTTTTCTCCAATTCACTTATGTCCCAATATTAATCAGTAATTTGAAACTGGGATTTCATTTTCTAGATTTACAGGCAGTAAATAGCTTCTGTTTCATATATTCTAACATTAAAGATTATTTTTTGATATTAATGCTTATTTTTTTTTTATTGCCATTTTATTAATCTGATACAGAGTGATCAAACTATTTTTTGTTGTAGGTGTGTTGACTTTTAAACAGGTATTGTTTTGCTTATAGATATATGTTGTATTTTTTATCACATTGGCCATCTCCCAACAAGGTAGGGTGGCTCAAGAGAGGAAAATAAATTCACCATCATTCATTCAGTTGGGATCTTCTCAGAGGCATGCTAGCATCATGGTTCAGATAACACTCCAAGCTACAATTTCCTTACAGGCATTATACTTCTTACACAAGCCTGTTCGATGCTCAAAACCTTCTTTATCCCCTCCCTTCACTCCTTTCTGGGATTACTCCCTATCTCCCCTTTCCCTCCACCCCAGATTTATATCCCTTCTTAGTTATCCTATCTGCTTCATCTTCTGTAAGTGTCCAGACCATTTCAGTAAGCCCTCCTCAGCCCTCTGAATTATGCCTTTTTTTTTTTTTTCTCCCCATGCACTGGCCCTCTGTATATCACATCTAAATTGTACAGACTTCTTTTTTTTCTTTTAATACACCAGCCATCTCCCAGTGAGGCAGTGTGTATTTATTGTTGTGTGACTGTTAAGTACTTGATACTATGATTTTCCTGGATGGATTGAAACTTGGTTCAGCTTTCATTTCTAATTTTTTTCTTTTTTTTTGCAATTTATTCCAGCCTTGGTTTGATGACTTGTTTTTCATGATTTATTAAAATTTGTCAACTCAGATTTTATTGGGAATCTTTTCTCAGCATCCCATTAAAAGCTTGTTCTGTAAAATTTGGTCAGCTTGATAATGTTTAGTCCTGTATAGAGCAGTGTCCCCAACCTGTGCCCTGTGAGTTGCATGTATTATTATTATAATCAAGGGGGAAGCGCTAAACCCGGAGGATTATACAGCGCCTGGGGGGGGGATGTGGAAGGCATTCAGGCTTAATTCGGGGAACTGGAGCACAGATCCAATTCCCTAAATCAAGAGCCCCTCACCAACATCAAGGAACCTTCCTTGAGGGAGCTGCATGTAGCCCTTCTAGGAAATGGATGTGGCCCTCATATGAAATTGTGAATTCACTTTTATGTAGGTTCCACACTACACAGTGTCAATAAAACCATGTGGCCCTCATCACACATTTGTCCATCAAATGTGGCAGACTTGTGTAGGAAGGTTGAAGACCATGGGTATAGAGTATTGTCTAAGTAAAAGCTTGATCTGCAATGGGTGTTTAGTTTTTTTTTACTATCTGTGGGTAGCATGTCATTTTGATTCAGATGTATTCTGGATTGTAGGCTCCCTGACTATTTAAAGATTTTGGCCTGCCAAAATCTAGAGAATGACTCAAATGGGAAAATACATTCACCATCATTCATTCAGTCTCTGTCTTGATAAATTAGACACATGTGCAACACTCTGGTATCTTTATTGAAGAAACGTTTTGCCACACAGTGACTTCATCAGTCCATACAAAAGAGAACATTGAAGAACAGGAGTAGTTTGAGGTAATCAGTCCCTCAGCCTATGAGTCTATGTGGTCAGTCCATCAATCTTGAAAAGATTACAGCATATAAGCTACTTCTATGCACATATGCTGTATTCTTTTCAAGATTGATGAACTGACCACATCGACTCGAGGCTGAGGGACTGATTACCTCAAACTATCCTGTTCTTCAATGTTCTCTTTTGTATGGACTGATGAAGCCACTGTGTGGCAAAACGTTTCCTCAATAAAGATACCCAAGTGTTGCATGTGTCTAATTTATCAACTTGTTAGTTCTCTGAACCATTCATCTACAGTCTCTCTTGCCATAAGGGTGCTGACATCACAGTTCAGATGACCTCTCTGAACTGTCACATCTTCACCCCTCCTTCAGAGTGCAGCCACTCCTTCCCACCTCCAGGACTCGAATCTGGCTAACCAGTTTTCCTAAATTCTCTCGTTACCTTGCTCACATTTATGAAGGGATTCAAGGAAACTGGTTAGGTGAACTTGAGTCCTGGAGGCGCTGTGTTATTTTTGTTGTGTTATTGAAAAAGATTCAATAAATTGATGCCCACAGGAACATTTGGAGCATCAACCCTGGAGGAACGGCACTTAGCCATAGGAGATTTTGAAGGGAAGATGGAAATTATTGACTTGCAGTCTCCTCAGTTGCCAGTTTATTCTGTCAAGGCTCACAGTGAGATCATCAATACAATCGATGGAATTGCTGGACTTGACATTGGCAAAGGTAAGGTTAATACATGAGTATTAATCTCCATATATTAGCAATACAGCCTCTCCTCACTTAGTGATGTAATCGTTTACTGACGCCTCGGACTTATGATGGGCTTTCTGACCAGTATTCATACCTAAATAGTGTATATTAGAGCTGATTTCTTCTATTTTGTTTATTTCAATATACAGTACACTACTGTATAAACATTTAAAAATATACCAGAAATGTTATAAATGGTGCAAAGGTGACATTAAAACATTATCAAAGATGGTTGACACAAACTCACTACCAATATAGTATGCTCCTCACTTAGTGACGAATTCGTTTAATGACATGGTCTTAGGAACAGAACTCTGTTCTTAAGTGAGGAGAGGCTGTATATATATTTTCTATTATACTGTATATACAGGGATGGTGCTAAGGAGGCTGAAACTCTCCAAAAATTCCATTAGAACCCTATATACCATTGCTTCATAAAAAAGTTCCCTAGGCCTCTCTTCCAACCAGAATACCATCCTTAAGCCATTACTATATAAAACTATACAAATAACCCTCACATAGGAGAGAGGAGCTTATGATGACGTTTCAGTCCGACTTGGACCATTTACAAAGTTACACTAATGGAAAGGAGAGGAGGAGGGGGTATACATAGGCCAGCAGATAGGGACGGGACAAGAGAGGTAATAGAGGAAGATGAGTTGGTAGAGGTAGTAGTAGTATTAGTGGAGTCATTCAAAGATTAAGAAAGAGGAGCACTGCAAGGGAGCTAGGTAAATTATTTATTATAAGAGTTCATTAAACACTTAATTTTTCAAGATAAATATAGATAATATTTAACATAGGTTGAGTAGCCTAGTTACGCAAAAGCCCTTAGTTACGCAAAACATTTTGGGCAGACATAATATTATCAAACCTTAAAACAGAATAGTTAATGTGAGATTATATACTTGGACAGTGTAACTTAATTGTATGAAGATAATTAAATCCTGTGCTGAAGATAGTGGTGACCTTGAAGGCTGGAGGATGCCTTGATGCTGGTGAGGTTTTGATCCAAGGAACTAGAGCTTTCCTACCCTTTCTTGGATCAGATCTGATTGCTTCCCATTCCCTCGTGCTGTTTGAGATTTATCTCTTCCTCTTAAATATTATAAATAATAATCTTACTGTCAATAATTTCTGCACTTATTAAACCAAGCAGTCAGAGTTCTCTGTAAATTTTGCAACTCTACCACTGCTACTTATTAAACCCCATTTAGTTAGAAATGAAGTAAGTTAAAACCATAGCATGTTTATATATTATTATAAATCTGGTCACTTTCACTTCCAGTTAAAGCCAAATATGAAAAAATCTTTGAGGATTTTAGTTCTGGTATTTAAAATTTTCTTAAGTCAAATTAATCTTTCTGTAGTATGCAAGTAAATTATGTTTTAAGTTGTGTTTTGACTTCATAAACAGTATATTTTCATGTCTTATTCTGCTGTGTATGACTTAATATGTTCATTGTACTGACTGAACATATACTGTAAACATGCCTTAATGAAATACACTTTAACAAGTTGAACTTCAGATTCTAAGTTCAATAGTACATTAAGTTTTAGTATGCAGTATTTGATGAAGTAATGCTTGGAACATCTTTGCTGAGAAAAATTTTAATTAATTTTTTTTTTTTAGCAAGTCGGCCGTCTCCCACCGAGGCAGGGTGACCCAAAACGAAAGACAGTCCCCCAAAACAAAATACTTTCATTATCATCATTCAACACTTTCACCTCACTCACACATAATCACTGTTTTTGCAGAGGTGCTCAGAATACAACAGTTTAGAAGCATATACGTATAGAGATACACAATATATCCCTCCAAACTGCCAATATCCCAAACCCCTCCTTTAAAGTGCAGGCATTGTACTTCCCATTTCCAGGACTCGAGTCCGGCTATATAAAAATAACCAGTTTCCCTGAATCTCTTCACTAAATATTACCCTGCTCACACTCCAACAGCTTGTCATGTCCCAAATACCATTCGTCTCCATTCACTCCTATCTAACATGCTCACGCACGCTTGCTGGAAATCCACGCCCCTCGCCCACAAAACCTTTACCTCCTCCCTCTGACCTTTTTGAGGATGACCCCTACCCCGCCTTCTTTCCCCTACAGATTTATATGCTCTCCATGTCATTCTACTTTGATCCATTCTCTCTAAATGACCAAACCACTTCAACAACCCCTCTTCAGCCCTCTAATACAGTGGACCCCCGGTTAACGATATTTTTTCACTCCAGAAGTATGTTCAGGTGCCAGTACTGACCGAATTTGTTCCCATAAGAAATATTGTGAAGTAGATTAGTCCATTTCAGACCCCCAAACATACACGTACAAACGCACTTACATAAATACACTTACATAATTGGTCGCATTCGGAGGTAATCGTTATGCGGGGGTCCACTGTACTTTTATTAACTCCACACCTTCTCCTAATTTCCACACTCCAAATTTTCTGCATAATATTTACACCACACATTGCCTTTAGACAGGACATCTCCACTACCTCCAACTGCCTCCTTGCTGCAGCATTGACAACCCAAGCTTCACACCCATATAAGAGTGTTGGTACTACTATACTTTCATACATTCCCTTCTTTGCCTCCATAGATAACATTTTTTTTGTCTCCACATATACCTCAACGCACCACTCGCCTTTTTTCATTCATCAATTCTATGATTAACCTCATCCTTCATAAATCCATCCACTGACACGTCAACTCCCAAATATGTATCTGAAAACATTCACTTCTTCCATACTCCTCCTCCCCAATTTGATATCCAATTTTTCTTTAACTAAATCATTTGATACCCTCATCACCTTACTCTTTTCTATGTTCACTTTCAACTTTCTGCCTTTACACACACTCCCAAACTCATCCACTAACCTTTGCAATTTTTCTTTAGAGTCTCTCATAAGCACGGTATCATCAGCAAAAAGTAACTGTGTCAATTACCATTTTGTATTTGATTCCCCATAACTTAATCCCACCCCTCTCCCGAACACCCTAGCATTTACTTCTTTTACAACCCCATCTATAAATATATTAAACAACCATGGTGACATTACACATCCCTGTCTAAGACCTACTTTTACCGGGAAGTAGTCTCCCTCTCTTCTACACACCCTAACCTGAGCCTCACTATCCTCATGGAAACCCTTTACAGCATTTATAACCAACCACCTATTCGATATACTTGCAACATCTGCCACATTGCTCTCCTATCCACTCTATCATATGCCTTTTCTAAACCCATAAATGCAATAAAAACTTCCCCACCTTTATCTAAATACTGTTCACATATATGCTTCAATGTAAACACTTGATCTACACATCACCTACCCACTCTAAAACCTCCTTGCTTATCTGCAATCCTACATTCTGTCTTACCTCTAATTCTTTCAGTAATAACGCTACTGTGCACTTTTCCTGGTATACTCAGTAAAATTATTCCTCTGTAATTTTTACAATCTCTCTTGTCCCCCTTCCCTTTATATAAAGGGACTATACATGCTCTCCGCCAATCCCTAGGTACCTTTCCCTCTTTCATACATTTATTAAACAAAAATACCAACCACTCCAACACTATATCTCCCCTTGCTTTTAACATTTCTGTCATGATCCCATCAGTTCCAGCTGCTTTACCCCCTTTCATTCTATGTAATGCCTCACGCACCTCCCCCACACTCACATCCTGCTCTTCTTCACTCCTAAAAGATGGTATACCTCCCTGGCCAGTGCATGAAATTATCGCCTCCCTTTCTTCGTTGACATTTAAAAGTTCAAAATATTCTCGCCATCTACCCAATACCTCCATCTCCCATCTACTGACTCCCTTACTCTGTTTTTAACTGACAAATCCATTCGTTTCCTAGGCTTTCTTAACTTGTTTAACTCTCTCCAATATTTTTTCTAATATTCATTAAAATTTCTTGACACTGCCTCTCCCACTCTATCATCTGCTCTCCTTTTGCACTCTCTCACCAGTCTCTTCACCTTTCTTTTACTCTCCATATACTCTACTCTTTTTATAACACTTCTGCTTTATAAAAACTTCTCATAAGCTACCTTTTTCTCTTTTATCACACCCTTTACTTCATCATTCCACCAATCACTCCTCTTTCCTCCTGCACCCACCCTCCTATAACCACAATTATATTATTCCTAATTTTTTTTTCCAATTATATTATTTCTAAATAAAGTCATCAGTACTTTCATGTAGAGAGAGAGGGAGAGAAAAGGTGAGAGAGTCTTGCATTAATATATTTACTGATCTTATGCCAGGTGCCCCAGAGATTGCCACGGGTAGTCGTGATGGACTTGTGAAGGTGTGGGATTCCCGTCAAAAAGATCGACCAGTTGTGACCATTGAACCCAAGGACGGGGAACAAAAGCGCGACTGCTGGAGTGTAGCATTTGGAAACTCGCATTCTACTGAAGACAGAACACTTTGTGCTGGTTTTGATAATGGAGATGTCAAGATGTTTGATCTTCGCAGTATGGCTGTTAAGTGGGAATCAAACTTGAGCAATGGTGTGTGCTCACTTGAATTTGATCGTAAAGATATTGTAATGAACAAACTTTTAACAACTACTTTAGAATCAAAGTTCTACATCCACGATCTTCGGACATTCCACAAAGATAAGGGTTTTGCAAGACTGATGGACAAGGGCCACAAGTCAACTGTGTGGTGTGGGAAGCACTTGCCTCAAGATCGTGAAATCTTTGTTACAACAGGTGGTAATGGTTCAATTATGTTATGGAAATATTCATATCCTGTAGCCAGGTCCAAGACACTCGAAGATGGGTCAGAAGTTGGTGTTGTTGGCCAAGTAATCCCACTACAGAATGCCACCCTCACTAGTCAACCCATCACAAGCTTTGACTGGAGTCCAGATAAGATGGGATTAAGCGTATGTTCAGGACTCGATCAGACAATTAGGGTAGTCATTGTTACAAAGCTAAATACAGTATGAATTTCTTTTTTCATAGGTATTTCAATGAGCTATGAAAATTAAAAAGGCTTTTTTCCTTGGCACCATTGCAGCTCCATATTGCACATCACATATAAAAACTATAAACTTTGTATTTTAGCTAAAGCCTTTCTTAAAATACTGCCCATATAAACTCTCGCATATCATTACCTTATAAACCTACTTAGGTAATTCCTAGCTATTTGTGTAATTTTTGGTTTCATTGCTTTCAATATATTGTCCTTAAATTTTGTTCATCATGCACAGTGTTTACACACTGCATTTTCACTTATGGTTCATAGAAAATTTTGCAGAAATGAGAAAAGGCCTTAGATGCCCATTTCAAAAAATTTGTGAATTAATGCCACCTGGTGACAGGAGACAGACACAGCTTGTATAGTCTTCATTTATCATAATTTAGGAGTTTTATTACTTGTGCTTGCTATTTTGGCCCCGGAGCTTCCTTCATACAACAATTATTACCTCGCCTCAATCAGTTTCTGACTAGTCGTGCACAGCCATAGACAGTGTACATGTATTATTATTATCACATTCAAAACTTAGTGCTAAACTCACAAGGGTCAAACAGTGTAATACAGAGACATCATTCAGGAAAAAGGTATACAAGTACAGTATTCCTCGCACTTCTTTCTTACCGTCTTAGGATTAGGTTTCTTTCATCCATCATATTCGTGTTTCTGAAGCACTGTATTTAGGTTTAGTTAAGCATGTAACTAGATCTTGCCTCACTCAGGCTGCAAATTAACCTTTTCTCTATAACCAAATCTTAGATAAATGAATTGTAACAAATATTTTATAGGAGCATATTACTGATAATTAAATGGTCCTTTTTAAGGAAGAGCTTTAAGCCATTGTAACTTTACTGTATTTGGAACACACTTATTGCTTACACGTTGTGTTAAATGTTTAAAGGTTCATAATACTAAACTGAAAAAATTACCAAACGTTGCAAAAAAAAAAAAAGTAAATAAAAATAATAACCTTGTTTTCTTATCCAATTTTATAGTGTGACATGTACCATGTGAGAAGACTTAAGAAACTTACATATATTACATTAATTGGGGAAGTGAGTGCTAAATCTATAGGGGTCATAACAGCAGCTGGGAGAATGAGAGACATTCAGGTTTGATCCAAGGGTCTTTTTATTATTATTATTATAATCAAGGGGGAAGCGCTAAACCCGGAGGATTATACAGCGCCTGGGGGGGGATGTGGAAGGCATTCAGGCTTAATTCGGGGAACTGGAGCACAGATCCAATTCCCTAAATCAAGAGCCCCTCACCAACATCAAGGAACCTTCCTTGAGGGGAAGGGTCTTTTTAGTTTTCCTGCAAACTACATCCCTCAAGGAAGGTTTCTTGATGCTGGTGAGGAGCTCTTGATCTAAGGATTTGGACCTGTGCTCATTAATTATTATAATAAAAAAGAAGCGCTAAGCCACAAGGACTATACAGCGCTGGACCTGTGCTCAAATTCCTTGAATTAAGTCTGAATGTCTTCCATTCCTTCAGGCACCATATGACCCCCTACAAGTTTAGCACTCCCCATGTATAATATAATTTATATTTTGCAAACTACAATATGTATTTTCATGTAGCTCCAAATATCAAACTGATGTACAACTACAGTCCCCTCAAGACATGCCTTGATACCTGTAAAGGGCTCTTGATACAAAAGAATTAGAGCTACTTTCCTTGGATACACTCCAAATGGCTCCCATTTCCAAAGGCATTGTATGACCCCTAAGGGTTTAGTACTCTCTGCCCTGAAATAAACATACAGGTACTTGTCTTTTTAACATGCCAGCTGTTTCCCAAGACAGGGTAACCCCCTCCCCCCCAAAAAAAAAAAAAAACTTACTTTCATCAAGAGGCATGCTGACACCTCATTTCTTATGACTTCTGAATTTCAACTCCCTCACCCCTCCTTCAGGGTGTAGGCACTATTTCCCACCTCCACTACTCAGGCCTGGTTACCTTGCTCACACTCTTAACAGCATATCAGGTCATAAAAATTACTAGCCCCCATTCCCTCAAATCCAATATGCTCACACAAGCCTGTTGGATAGTATGCCACTTTGAGCCCAATTTCAGACTTCGTCTTGAAACCTATCAAAATCGTCTTATTTTCAACAGCATATCTTCCATTCTATCAAATGATATTTATCAAGAAACAGGAAAATCATGCTAGAAAACACTCAAAACTGCTATTTTAAGCCAAACACAAGGTCAGAGTTTTGCTTTTCCCATCATGCACCACATGGGGCGGATTTTTGTTTTATGCTGTGCACACTCACTGCAGAGACTCATTCTCTCATGTCTAGACCAAAATTTACAGCTGACAGCTTATCTGACTGAGCCAAGCTCAAAACAGATCTACACAGGCGACCCTGGCATCAATAACATGGATCTACACACAAGACAGTGAAAGGGTTAATGTTCTGATTTGAAAAACATTTGGACAGCCCCAAATAGTCCATTATAGCAAGGGCTGACTACCTGGATGACAGCCAACAAACTCTCAATACTGTTAAGACCTACATCCATTTGGGAAAAAGCTAAAAATATTCAACTGAACACTAAGAAGAAACGGGAATTTTTTATAGGTACATGTATAGGTACAATTTGATGGCAACACTTTCATATGCATCCAGCACATACCTAAGAAAATTTCCAAAACTGTACTATAATCTAGTATTACCTCAATTATGGTATCCATGCATGGGGATCTACAACAGCAATCAACAAAAACCCCATTGTTACTAAAGAGAAATTGGCTATTTTTTTTTTTTAACACCGCCATCTCCCACCGAGGCAGTGACCTGAAAAAAAAGAAACACTTTCACCATCACTAACATTATCACTTTTATCACAGGTGTGTCAATAACACTTCAGATGCCCCTCCAAACTGCATATATATATAGTATTCCCACCCCCAAGAGTCAGTTAACTATTTTCCCTGAATCCCTTCATAAATGTTACCCTGCTCACATTCCAACAGCTCAACAAGTCATAAAAACCACTTGCCTCCACTTCTATGCTTATGCGTGCCTGCCAACTGAATGTCCAAGCCCTTCACATGCAAAACCTTTACCCACCCTCCTATAACCTTTCCTAGGGCAACCCTCTACCTTGCCTTCCCTCCACTACAAATTTATACACCCTCTAAGTCATCCTATTTTGCTCCATCCTCTTTAAATGTCTGAACCATCTCAACAACTCCTCCTCAGCTCTCTGAATAATACTTTTAGTAATACTACCCTTCCTTCTAATCTCCAAACTATGAATTCTCTGCACAATATTTACATCGCACACTGCCCTCAGACACATCATCTCCACTGCCTCCAGCCTCTTCCTCACTGCAACATTCACAACCCATGCTTCACACCTATACAAGTGTTGAGGCATACACAGATAACAGCTAAAAAATGAGTGAGATACTAAAGTCCCAATATGGCCCAGTGCTAGTGAACCATTACCCAGACTAAGGGTTGACAATCCAAATGAATTCTTTTTGAACGAGACCAAAAATTTGGTCATCTCAAGAGTCTCTGATATTATTCTAACACCATAATCAATCAATCAATCAAGTTTATTCTCTATAAGGATTACAATGTGGGGTTTACAGATTTTGAATATTGTGTGGTTTTAAAATACTAATTACAGAGGGGGCCACTAGGACACCTAGCATGGCTAGGTATTTCGGGCAGACTTAGATTAATTCTAAACTTTAAATTATTACAGATTATGGTATTAAGGCTAAGTGACTACATTATAGTTTGTTAGTTTAGCAATGCGAATGCTTTTGTTTTGGCACAATACATAGTGTCTATATTGGAGTATCATAGGCAAACTTATGACTAGTTAGGATTCATTATTTTAAGATTAAGATTCGTATTTCTGTGTTTATAGTCAATGGGTGAGTGTAAGTGTGAACCACCAGGTGGTTTACACGTAGTTAGTTGACGGGATGTATCAAGGAGATAAGATGTTTTCTAACTGTAGTTTTGAAAGTGATGAATGTGTCTGCTGTTCTAGAGTTTTCAGGTAGGGTGTTCCAGATTTTAGGCCCTTTGACACACATTGAATTTTTGTAAAGGTTTAGTCGGACACGGGGAATGTCACAGAGAAGTTTGTGTCTGGTGTTATGCCTGTGGGTCCTGTCACAACTATCAAGAAAGCATTTTAGGTCAAGGTTAATATTGGAATTTAAGGTCCTGTAGATGTAGATTGCACAGTAGTAAGTGTGGATGTTCTGAACAGGGAGTAAGTTTAGATCTATGAAGAGTGGGGGGGTGTGTTGCAAGGGATGGGATTTAGCGATTATTCTAACTGCGGTTTTTTGTTGGGTTATTATTGGCTTTAGATGTGTTGCTGCAGTTGATCCCCAAGCACAAATAGCATAGGTGCGGTATGGATAAATGAGTGAATGGTATAGTGTGAGAAGGGCAGTTTGCGGCAAGTAATATCGTATCTTGGAGAGGATCCCCACCGTTTTAGATACTTTTTTTGTTATGTGTTGGATATGGGTGCTGAAATTTAGGTTGTTGTCGAGGTATAGACCTAGGAATTTGCCCTCATTATGTCTGGCAATTAAAGTGTTGTCGATCTTAATGTTAAGTTGCGCAACACCTGCTCTGCTACCAAACATAATGCGGTAGGTTTTGCCAGTGTTAAGTGTAAGTTTATTGGCTGTCATCCAAGTCAGAATTTTGAGCAGCTCCTCATTGACAATGGTGTTGAGGGTGGCAAGATTAGGGTGGGAGATGACGCAAGTCGTGTCGTCAGCAAAGAGAATGGGTTTCAGGTGTTGGGATACGTTTGGAAGATCATTAATGTAAATGAGGAAGAGCAGGGGACCAAGGACACTTCCCTGCGGAACTCCAGTATCAAGTGGCCATGATGATGATGCTGTGTCTTTAATGGTGACATACTGATACCTATTAGTAAGGTAGGATTTGAAATATGCAAGTGCATGCCTCTGAAAAGGCAATAATTGACATGCTCATGCACTTTGCCCCAGGCCCAGACTTATGGAACTCCATGTTCATCAAGAACTGCAAGAAGCCCCTGTCATGTGCTTTTCAGCATTCTATGGAGAGGGAGAGTGGACATGGGGGTCACCCCACAAGCACTAAAAACATAGCCCCACTCTACAAAGGTGGCAGTAAAGCAATTGAAAAGAACTACAGATTGATAGCACTAACATCCCATATCGTAAAAATCTCTGAAAGGGTTCTAAGAAGCAAGATCGCCAATCACCTAGATACCCATCAGTTACACAATCCACAGCAACACGGGTTTAGAACAGGCCGCTCCTGCCTGTTCCAGCTATTGGATCACTATGACAAGGTCCTGGATGCTATAGAGGATAAACAAAATGCAGATGTAGCATACAAAGACTTTGCAAAAGCCTTCGACAAGTGTGACCATGGTGTAATAGCACACAAAATGCATGATAAAAGAATAACTGGAAAAGTTGGTAGATGGATCTATAACTTCCTGATGAACAGAACACAAAGAGTAATAGTAAACAGAGTAAAGTCCGAGGCAGCTACAGTGAAAAGCTCTGTTCCATAAGGCACAGTACTCACTCCCATCCTATTCCTCATCCTCATATCTGGCATAGACAGATGTAAGCCATAGCTCTGTGTCTACCTTTGCGAATGACACCTAAATTGCCATGACAGTGTCCTCCATTGAAGATACTGTAAGACTCCAAGTGAACATCAACCAAATCTTCAAATGGGTCACTCAAAACAATATGAAGTTCAATGAGGAGAAATTTCAACTACTCAGATAAGGAAAAACTGAGGAAATTAAAACTGTATCAGGGTATACAACAAATTCTAACCTTACAATAGAGCAAGAAAGTAATGTCAAGGACCTGGGAGTGATGTCAGATGATCTCGCCTTCAAAAACCACAAGACTGTATCTACTGCATCTGCTAGGAAAATGACAGGGTGGATAATGAGAACCTTCAAAACTAAGGATGCCAAGCCCATAATGATTCTCTTCAAACTGCTCTCTCTAGGCTGGAATACTGATGTACACTAACTGCCCCCTTCAAGGCAGGCAAAACTGCTCACCTGGAGAGCGTACGAAAAACTTTCACGGCATACATAAGTACAATAAGGCACCTAAATTACTGGGAACGGTTGAAGTCTCTTGATTTGTATTCCCTGTAATGCAGATGAGAGAGATACATAATATACACTTGGAAAATCCTAGAGGGATTAGTACCAAACTTGCACACAAAAATCACTCCTTATGAAAGCAAAAGACTTGGCAGGAGATACAACATTCCCCCAATGAAAAGCAGGGGTGCCACGAGTACACTGAGAGAGAACACAATAAGTGTCAGGAGCCCAAGACTGTTCAACTGCCTCCCAGCATACATAAGGGGGTTACCAATAGACCCCTGGATGTCTTCAAGAAGGCACTGGACAGGCACCTAAAGTCAGTACCTCACCAGCCGGGCTGTGGTTCATACGTCAGTTTACGTGCGGACAGCACTAACAGCCTGGTTGATCAGACCCTGATCCACACGAGGCCTGGTCTCAGACTGAGCTGCATGGGCGTTGATCCCTGAAACCCTCTCCAGGTATACTGTACTCTCATACATTCCCCATTTTACCTCCATGGATAATGATTTGTCTCCACAGACTCCTCAGTGCACCACTCACCTTTTTCCCCCCTCATCATTTTTATGGTTCACCTCATCTTTCATAGACCCATCTGCTGACAAGTCCACTCCCAAATATCTAAACACATTCACTTCCTCCATACTCCCTCCTTCCAATCTGATATCCAATCTCTCATTACCTAAATTTTGTTACCCTCATCACCTTGCTCTTTCTTATATTCACTTTCAATTTCATTCATTTACATACCCTCCCAAATTCATCCACCAACCTTAGCAAACTTCTCTTCTATCTCCCAACAGCACTGTGTCATTGGCAAAGAGCAACTGTGACAATTCAAATTTTGTATTACATTCTACACATTTTGATCCCACAATTCCCCCTACACACTATTATTATTATAATCAAAAAGAAGCGCTAAGCCACAAGGGCTATACAGCCCCCTACACACTAACATTCACTTCTTTTACAACCAGTATGGTAACAATAATGTAGAATGCTATATAAAATTAAATAATAGTAAGCTAACAGATATCAGTGACTGAACATGTCTCTGATAACACTAAAACATCAAGCACTAAACCTGAATGGGCCATATACAGTAGTTAACATCCTTACTGGAAGCTGGAGGTGGGATGCTGACAAGTGCAGAAAAACAACTAGTTGCAGTAAGTCCTTTACTGGTACAATAAAGGACTTGCACTTTTCACCCACCTGTGGATGAAACATTGTACACTGTACTACTAATGGAGGACTCCACAACAACTATTTTTACTGTATCTTTATTGTATCTATCATTGTATACACAAAGTTGTTACTTTACTTACAAAACTGCTAAATAAGGAGGTCAGCTGCATCATTTTTAATGGGGAGTGTATAAAGGTCTTGGATACACACCATGCACTGAATTTTGTGTTGATGTTTTCTAGAATAGAATGAAAAAAATATAGATGCGACATTTAAAAAGAACTTGAAACATCTTGTCAATTTTTTCTCCAAAAAAAGTGATCCTCACACAGTTCAGTTAGCCAGACTTGCATTCTGGAGGTGGGAAGTACAGTGCCTGCACTCTGAAGGAAGGGTGGGGATATTCGCAGTTTTGCCCCTCTGGCAAGACAGTCATGGAGTGAGTGATGGTAAAAGTGTTTCTTCTTTTTTGGGTCACCTTAGCTCAATAGGGGACAGTCAGTTTGTCGAGAAATGAAACTAAATAACCATAATATATAATTACAGGTCATTTTCTTGTTTTAGCTTGTCGGAGGGAAGTGCCTTTACCCTGGAAAGACTCGAATTCTTCTTGTTCCTCGACTCTGCTCTCACTGTCACTTGTTTTAGGGGCTCTTCTCCAGAATTTTATAAAGCCAACTTCATAATCATAATCAGGAATACCCCGCTGCCTTGGAAGCCTCTTCAACAGCTCTTCCTGAGGCAACTGTAGGTTTTTCTTTTTACCATCCAGTCTGTTTCCTGAACCTTGGAAGGAATAAAATCCAGTAGGTTCAGGAATCATCTCCTCTTTGTCATCTTCGGGCATAGCTGCTGCGCTATCCATTCTCTCTGGTTCTTGATATCCAACAGGAGGAGCAAATTCTACGTTCATATCACACTCGATGATGCTGACAGCATTTCCAGGCTTTACTTCCAGAACTCGCATCTCGTATATTCTGTCATTGTAGTTGAGTGCAATGACATCATCCAAGGTCAAACATGCAAAGTTTCGTAAAGCATTTTCCAGAACAGCCTTCGGATTTGTGATATCAAGGAATTCTACACTCTGAGGCTCAAACTTAGAGAACGTAGCAACAGGGAGCGACTGAGATTCAATATGCACAAGATCTCCTTCGTCCAGCAGAAGATTCCTCATCATCTGTCAAAGACAATTTCAACCATAAATAAATAAAAACAAATAAAATGCCTTAAACATATTTATAACACTCAGTAAACAAAATCTGAATAAACTTAGTAAGATTACTGAAGTACAGGTACATTTTATTTATTTTTTTATTAACACACTAGCCGATTCCCACCAAGGCAGGGTGGCCCGAAAAAGAAAAACTTTCACCATCATTCACTCCATCACTGTCTTGCCAGAAGGGTGCTTTACACTACAGTTTTTAAACTGCAACATTAACACCCCTCCTTCAGAGTGCAGGCACTGTACTTCCCATCTCCAGGACTCAAGTCTGGCCTGCCGGTTTCCCTGAATCCCATCATAAATGTTACTTTGCTCACACTCCAACAGCACGTCAAGTATTAAAAACCATTTGTCTCCAATCACTCCTATCAAACAAGCTCACGCATGCCTGCTGGAAGTCCAAGCCCCTTGCACACAAAACCTCCTTTACCCCCTCCCTCCAACCTTTCCTAGGCTAACCCCTACCCTGCCTTCCTTCCACTACAGACTGATACACTCTTGAAGTCATTCTGTTTTGCTCCATTCTCTCTACATGTCCGAACCTCCTCAACAACCCTTCCTCAGCCCTCTGGACAACAGTTTTGGTAATCCCGCACCTCCTCCTAACTTCCAAACTACGAATTCTCTGCATTATATTCACACCACACATTGCCCTCAGACATGACATCTCCACTGCCTCCAGCCTTCTCCTCGCTGCAACATTCATCACCCATGCTTCAGACCCATATAAGAGCGTTGGTAAAACTATACTCTCATACATTCCCCTCTTTGCCTCCAAGGACAAAGTTCTTTGTCTCCACAGACTCCTAAATGCACCGCTCACCCTTTTTCCCTCATCAATTCTATGATTCACCTCATCTTTCATAGACCCATCTGCTGACACGTCCACTCTCAAATATCTGAATACATTCACCTCCTCCATACAGGTACATAATTATTATTATTACAATCAATCAAAATGAAGCATTAAGGTACAGGTACACATAAGTACAATTATCATACCCAGTAACATGTCAATTACCCACCAAGATAACCCAAAAAAAAGTCAGACAAAGTGACTTATTTTCATTGGGGTCCTTGGACAAAGAGAAGTTAACGAACAAAACATGGAACAGGTAGGGATTGAACCCACTGCAAGCTGGATGAATTTTATTATAGCCAGCTGGCCCAGTGACTTACACACTGTGCTAAGTAAAAGGACATTGCCACAATAAAATGTGATATTAGTTGCATTTGTGTCCTTTTACTTAACATATTGTCGGTAAATGTGCGGTGAGGTATCTGTGGAGACAAAAAAATGTTATCCATAGAGGCAAAGAATGGAATGTACGAAAGTATAGTGGTATCAACACTCTTATATGGATGTGAAGCTTGGGTTGCAAATGCTGCACCGAGAGGTGGTTGGAGGCAGTGGAGATGTCCTGTGTAAGGGCAATGTGTGGTGTAAATATTATGCAGAAAATTCGGAGTGTGTAAATTAGGAGGAAGTGTGGAGTTACTAAAAGTATTGGTCAGAGGGCTGAAGAGGGGTTGTTGAGGTGGTTTGGTCATTTAGAGAGAATGGATCAAAGTCGAATGACATGGAGAGCGTATAAATCTGTAGAGGAAGGAAGGCGGGGTAGGGATCGTCCTCAAAAAAGTTGGAGGAAGGGGGTAAAGGAGGTTTTGTGGGTGAGGGGCTTGGACTTTCAGCAAGCATGTGTAAGTGTGATAGATAGGAGTGAATGGAGACGAATGGTTTTTGGGACCTGATGAGCTGTTGGAGTGTGAGCAGGGTAATATTTTGTGAAGGGATTCAGGAAAACTGGTTAGCTGGACTCGAGTCCTGGAAATGGGAAGTACAATGCCTGCACTTTAAAGGAGGGGTTTGGGATATTGGCAGTTTGGAGGGACTTCTGAACTGTTGTATCTGAGTGCCTCTGCAAAGACAGTGATTATGCATGAGGTGAAAGTGTTGAATGATGAGGAAAGTATTTTCTTTTTGGGAATTTTCTTTCTTTTTGGGTCACCCTGCCTCAGTGGGAGACGACCAACATGTTAAAAAAAAAAAAAAAGTCGGTAATTCTATCAATATTAATCCAATCTGTCAGACTCCACTTACACACTGGCCTGGAGTTTTACCACTCACTCACCATGGTTCAATTCCCACCAGTTCGGTGGTTTGTTTGCAATCTTGTTACTATAATTTAGTGAGTCAAGAAGCTAGTGAGTTGGTGGTGATGGAGAAGGGAGTAAGAAGGGATGGTTATAGTATGAATGAATTTTGTAATTAAATTTTCTTTTATTTTTTGACCAATGGTATTTATTTTTGGTATATAACCATTTGGTATCTATTTAAAAAAATTAAGAAAAGAAATGTAGAATTTGTTTTCCCAATTTTGTATAGAATAAGGATTAATATGGAATTTTTTCTTAGTTTTCCACCAAATTTGCTTCTTTTTGTATATAATGATTTGGTGCATGTGTGCTTAGCTCAATTTTTTTTGTATATGTTAGTCAAGAAATATAAAATTTGCAGTCTCTAGAATGAATCTTCATGTTTTACATGTTACATAAATCAAGGAACATCTGTATTTTACCCTTGAAGAGAAACTTACCCAATATGGAATGTAGACTTTCCCTTCATCTGCCACGAACTCCAGCACTCCACAATGTGTGTGTCTATTTGCTCGTTGGTTTGTTAGCTTAAACAACATAGGGTAAACAATGTTGAGGCGTGTCAGGACATCCAGAGCTGATGGTGGCATAATAACTGAAAATAGATAGGAGTGAGTGGAAAGAAATGGTTTTTGGGACTTGACAAGCTGTTAAGTTTAAGAAGGGTAATATTTTGTGAAGGGATTCAGGGAAAATGGTTAGCCGAACTTGAGTCCTGGAGGTGGGAAGTGCAATGCCTGCACTTAATGATGGGGTTTGGGATATTTGCTGTTTAGAACTTTAGAGTGATATCTAAACTGCCATATCTCCATGGTGCTGGCAAGACAATGATAGTGTTTCTTTTTCAGGTCACTCTGCCTCGGTGGGAGACAGCCAATGTGTTAAAAAAAAAAAAATACACAAGACTCAATGCAAGGCTGAATCAATACAAGGAATTCATAAAATCATAACATTATGACATGGCTGCATTACTGTTAGAAGGGTAAAAACATTTTGATTTATTGATGACCCATCTATCCACATGTTTAAAATGGAAGCTGTATTTCCCACCTCCAAATACAGTATCTAAATCCAGTTAATAATTTTTCAAGAGTCCCTTCAAAGACAAATACTGATACAGGCAGGCCCCACTTATACAGTGGGTTAGGTTCTTGGCTACTACTGTACAGGAGGGCCCCACTTATACAGCAGGATAAGTTCTAGGCTACTGCTATAGTATAATGGAACTGGCACATATTATATATACTACACAAGTATTGCACCACTGACACCTGTAACTGTTTTAAGAACTGTTTTGTTGTATCATGTACTTACTTTTGCCCCCATTCTCCACTGCTTGTTTATCCCCGGGGAACATGGAGACGGAGTAGCAGCGATAGTGAGTGTTAAAGGGCCGTGGCTGCAGCGGCTCTCCGAACATGTTGAAACTGAACTGTTGTGGGTAAAAAAATGTACTTATAGAATAGTTTAAAAGTAACATGCAACAACACTACTGCATTAACAAAGTAACTCTTTTTTTTTGCAAAATCAGAGCATTAGCAAGAATTATAAATAGAAAAAATGTACTGAAAAATCTGGTAAAGAAGAGCACTTACAATTAGACTTTTTCTTTTAATTCATACACTATAAACTGTTTTACAAACTTTACCTATATACAGTAGCCATCAAATACAGTGGTCATTTAATTATCTGGCCTTGTTTACTGTCCATTTTCCAGATGGCATAACTCATGACCATACAGCCCCCAGTCAAATGATCAGACTGTATAACTAAATTGTCAAAGTCTATAACTGAGCTTAAACAGTGAATAAACACTAATTTATTTTAAAGAATTGTATGAAAAACTATAGTTACAAATGCATTATATGTCTCAAAAATATAGTTTTTTGCCATACAGTGGATGCTTAATGACCTCTCTAGAGCATGTTACTGTATATACACCCATAGGTGTATGCTTCTCAGTGTATATACACCCACAGGTGTATGCCTCTCAGTGTATATACACCCACAGGTGTATGCTTCTCAGTGTATATACACTGTGTCAAGATTAACTATTATTTTAAGAATTAAAGTACAGTATTCTTAACTGGTGGTGAGCAGGTTACATGAAGCCTTGATGACTCTGGCATAATCAATAGTTTGTAAACCCCAATTAACCAACCAACCACTCTTTCTACTCTTCACATAAGTATTTTATTTAATCATGAAAATATTTTCTTGTAATGTGTAAATATGCAAATGTATCAAATTATATTTGTATCTTTATTGTATCATAACTGTAACCAAAAGACGTGTAACTGCAATCACTGTAATGTCTATGTATATATGTATGCTTCTTAGAAATGAAGATTTTGATTTTGATTTTTTAACGTGAAAAATGTGTGAAAACCCCTTAAGGATATACCAAGTTAACATACCTTTATCTTTGATGAGTTCTGAGAGCTTTTCTACTCCCAAAGCCTGGCCATGGGCAGGATATATGTGCAAATGCTTTGATAAAGTGTCATGATCAGTGGCCAGGGAAAGGTAAGAAACCACTTGGACCAATAAATTAAATATGAGGCAAAAGTGGTCTTCAGTCTAAGACCATTTTCATATGCTAAATAAGTCTCTCTGAGGTTGAAATAAACAGATATCTTTTATGTATTCCTCATTTTTCAGTGCAAGTGGTTTTCCAACCTTCACATGTACAAACATACATGTATTCGAGACATCCAACATCTTAACAGCCAGTAATGTTAAGCTGAAAACTGCATAACAGTGAGCCCCACTCACCTACACCATCTCCAGCTGTTACACCTCATTCCCTAATATTTAATTAATTTTTCCTCAATGAGCACAGTACAAAAACTGATGAAATGCTTTACTGCAAGACAACTTCGATACTAACCATTTTGGTGGTGGTTCTTGACTCTCACGTGAAGGGTCAACTTCTCGTTTAAGTTTCCTCTTTTTAGTTTCTTAGGTTGTAAACTCTTCCTGCCTTCCTTCTTTAGTGTTTCATTATCTATAAGGGAAAAAGTAAAATATGAAATTCTTTCAATACCAGAACTCATTAATGTCTTCTGGTAATGAATACAATCTTTATTCAGTAACTACAGTACCTAAAGCTACATAATTTTACATAAGTGTGTCATCAAGGGGCTGTCTGTCTTATTTTCATTGGGGTCCTCAATCTTGTCCCCCAGATTGGGACCCACACCAGTCAACTAACACCAACGTACCTACTTGCTTGCTAGGTGAATAGGGACAACAGGCATAAAGAAACACACCCACTGTCTTTACCCTTGGAGGGGATTGAACCATGGACACTCAGTGTGTGAAGCAAGAGTGTTGCCTACCAGGCCATGGGCCACCAACTGAAGAGTGGAGCATTTGCTGGTCCTTACACTGAGTGGCTCACACTTTTAGTGATTTACACAGTATAAATGAAATGAAATATTATGTCATATTAAATTCATAGACCTTGATTCAGTGGATATTGGAAATATGGTCAATAAATTCAGAAACAGTGGCAAAGTCCACTGGTTAGAGAATTGCCCATTACTGTTAGCTATGGCTAAACAGTCTTGTCTCTGTCTACCACAATCGTTAATACTGACCATCAATGTCTTCATATTAGTTCATTAACACAAGGGTTTACTATATTGAAGAGAGAAATATATTAGCAACAATTCATGTGAGATTTTTTGCCAGTGTAAAAATGAAAGACTTAAGATTAAAGTACTACAATGTATTTTCACCATTTTTTTGAGAGGCAATATTTTAGAAAAATAAAATACAGTCTATATATATAAAGATTGTGGGAATTGTTGACAAATCAGTTGCATCTGACAAGTCTGCACTCTCCTGTTGCACCTCTGTGACCTATCACTGGGGGAAACCTGACCTATCACTGGGGGAAACCTGACCTATCACTGGGGGAAACCTGACCTATCACTGGGGGAAACCTGACCTATCACTGGGGGAAACCTGACCTATCACTGGGGGAAACCTGACCTATCACTGGGGGAAACCTGACCTATCACTGGGGAAAACCTGACCTATCACTGGGGGAAACCCTTTGTAATTTGTTAATAAGAGGAGGTTAGCTCTCTGAAGTGCTTATTTACCACTGAGTATGTAAATGGCTTGGCACAACATGAATTACGTAGAACTAATAATGACTGGACTGTATTTATATAATGGTAAGTTATTATCTGGAGGATGTTTTCAGAGGTCAATCCTCTGTAGCCCAGTCCCAGGCTAGGCCTCCTGGTGGAGCCAAGCCTGATCAACCAGGCTATTACTGTTGGCTGCACACATGCCAGCACACGAACCACAGCCCAAGTGATCATTAACCGACTTGAGGAACGTATCAAGTTCCCCCTTAAGGACAGCCATGCGTCTGATGGTAACCTCCTTTATGTATGAAGGGAGTCTGTTCAACTGAAAGAAACATGACTTACATTATATATTTCCTGATGTGCCCCAATTCCTGCAGGAAGGCACAAGTGTGGGCTTAGATATCCTGGCGGTCAATAGGGTTGAACCCTTTCCCATCAAGTAGGAGTAGTAGGGTCATGGAATGGGCCCCAAATGGGTGTAAGCCTACATGGAGGAAGGTCCACATAGTGGTAATGGAAGGACCACAGTAGAAAGTGGTCTACCATATCTGGCTGAAAAGGTCACCATGGGCAGGATGATCATCCTGAAGCAGTGTAGATGAGTTGTCAGTAATGAACACCTCATCCAGAGTCGAGTTACAGCTACATCCATTGCCTGATTAGGATGATGTGCCCATGGGCAAGGATCATCAATAGACCATAGTGAGCCTAGTGCCAAGAAAAAAAGGGAGCACCCTAGATTTTGTCACCCCTCTCCTCCCAGCTAGAGTCGATGGATTTCTCGCCGGATCCCATTGGCGAAATCACATCGGCCCAATCTAAGGGCAGTGATGGTAGGGATTGTGTGCAATGAAGGCTGCCTCATCAGCCACTCATTACCTTAAATGCCAACATTTGCTGGGTACTCATGGAAGCGAGATGTTATAAGTGTAGCAGAAACTGTGTCCATCGAAGGAGGGGACCAAGGGACTGTGAACAGGCAGAAGATAAGAAAGCCACAGATGATTGAGAATCGAAGAAAAGAGCCACAGGTTAAGGTGCAATGTGAATGAGGGTGAAAAGCATGGTATAGTGAATGGTAATAACTCTCCCCTCCAGGACCGAGGGAGAGGGTAGTCTAGCTTCAGGGTATGACACAGGGAGACATAGGAGGAAAAAAATGTAGCTGAAGATGGTAGATAGAGTAGTATGTGCCCAGCCATCCATGAAAATGAATAATGAAGATGCCAGATCCAATTCTATGGATCAAAAGTCCCTCACTGGCATGAAGGAAACTCCCTTGAGGAGAGAACAGTATACAGGGTCAATATGTACTTAACTCCTGAGTCTGTTATGTAAATTCTCTGGTATGACATGTACTGTGTATGTACTAGAGATACTGCATAAACGGTATATATTTAGTATTTATGGGAAAAAGACCTTCTTTTTAAAATGTAACCTAAGCAACAATTTTGCATCTTGTCTAAGTTTGGTTAGGTTAGATTTTGTTGGGATATGTTATGTTATTAGTTATTAATTAAAAAAAATGTTTTTGTCCTATTTATTTAAAAAATAACTTTTTCCACTGCACAACTTACCTAATAAAAAAAGAAACTGCATAATATATATTTTTAGTTTGCCTATTATCACCTAAATAAACAATTTACATAACTATTTTTCTGTGGATTTCATAATATGGTTGTTATTTATAATATAAAAATGTTAAGATAATATAAGGCTTGTTGGGAGTTTTAACTCAGGGTAGGGAGGGTTAGCCACCCAGGATAACCCAAGAAAATCAGTGTGTCATCGAGGACTGTCTTATTTCCAGTGTGGTCCTTCAACCTTGTTCCCCAGGATGCAACCCACAACTGTCGACTAACACCCAGGTACCTACTTACTGCTAGGTGAATAGGGACAGCAGGTGTAAGGAAACATGTCCAGCATATCCACCTGGCCATGGGTTTGAACCGTGGACATTCTCGTCTGAGAGAGATGCTATACAACCTATAGACCTTCAGATTATTGTATGTTTTATACGGTAATTCTGAAATAAAAATTGTATTTGAGTAATATTAACCAGTGATTGTCCCTGACCTGTAAATAAATTTAGTTAGTAAGATAACGTACAGGTACAAATAAATACAATTACACAAACTTTGGTGACTATAATAATAATAATAATAATAATAATAATATTAATATTTATTTATTCAGGTACAAGATATACAAGTTTAGCTGACATCAATGACATATTACTACAGGATGCAACCCAGGATGCGACCCCACACCAGTCGACTAACACCCAGGTACCCATTTTACTGATGGGTGAACATAGACAGCAGGTATCTTAAGGAAACACGTCCTAATGTTTCCACCCACACCGGGGATCCAACCCCAGAGCTCAGTGTGTGAGCTGAGTGCACTACCAACCCAACTACGGGTCACCTTACAATGGAAATAAGTCACTTCGACTTTTTTGGGGGGATTATCCTGGGTAATTTACAAACATTACTAAGTAAGTGTACTTATGTGTACCTAAATAACCTTACTATCATATCTAGTAACATATATGTAAATTACTAAGGATAACCCCCCAAAAAAGTCAAAGTGACTTATTTCCATTGGAGTCCTTGTAATATTTTATTATTTAAAGTCTGGCTGTACGATACAGTTAAAATTATGGTATGGAAATAAGTCAATCTGTATTACTTATTATAGATGATTTTATCCGGTCGGTAATTTACCTATGTATAATTGTACTTTTTATGCCTGTCACCTAACCATCTAACCTTACCCAGAAAGTTCAAGTGATAATAAGATTTTCGTTACGGACTAATTTTAACCCGGAGGGTTAGCCACCAGGAAAACCTAGAAGCAGAATCCAACGATGGCGTCTACGAGGACTGTCTAACTTATTTCCATTGGGGTCCTTAATCTTGCCCCCAGGATTAAAGTACTAGTACAATCCTACACAGTCGACTAATACCCAGGTAACTATTTCTGCTAGGTTGAACAGGACAATAGTGTAAGGAAAGTTGTCAAATTGTTTCCCCCGTCGGAATCGAACATTTCGAACACGTTTACACTGGGCTATACTATTAATGGTTTCTGGGGGATCTTATGGGGTTTATGGTCTTACGGATTTTTTATGGGGTTTATTAAATAAATAAAAGTTAGTTGGATTTTTAACCCCGGAGGGTTAGGGTTAGCCACCCAGGATAACCCAAGAAAGTCAGTGCGTCATCGAGGACTGTCTAACTTATTTCCATTGGGGTCCTTAATCTTGTCCCCCAGGATGCGACCCACACCAGTCGACTAACACCCAGGTACCTATTTGCTGCTAGGTGAACAGGACAACAGGTGTAAGGAAACGTGTCGAAATGTTTTCACCCGCCGGGAATCGAACCCGGGCCTTCCGTGTGTGAAGCGGAGCTTTAGCCACCAGGCCACCGGGCCACGGGGTTTCCTGGGGGTCTTATGGGGTTTCTCTGGGGTTCTATCTTATTCATGGGGTTTTTTGGGGTCCGTACGGGGTTTTTTCTGGGTTCTATCTTATTCATGGGGTTTCCTGGGGTCTTATGGGGTTTCTCTGGGGTTCTATCTCATTCATGGGGTTTTTTGGGGGTCGTACGGGGTTTTTCTGGGGTTCTATCTTATTCACGGGGTTTCCTGGGGTCTTATGGGTTCTCTGGGGTTCTATCTTATTCACGAGGTTTTCTGGGGTCTTACGGGTTTTTTCTGGGGTTCTATCTTATTCACGGGTTTCCTGGGGTCTTATGGGGTTTCTCTGGGGTTCTATCTTATTCATGGGTTTTTTTGGGGTCGTACAGGTTTTTTCTGGGGTTCTATCTTATTCACAGGGTTTCCTGGGGGTCTTATGGGTTCTCTGGGGTTCTATCTTATTCACGAGGTTTTTCTGGGGGTCTTTAAACGGTTTTTTTTCTGGGGTTCTATCTTATTCACAGGGTTTCCTGGGGGTCTTATGGGGTTTCTCTGGGGTTCTATCTTATTCACGAGGTTTCCTGGGGTCTTATGGAGTTTCTCTGGGGTTCTATCTTATTCACGGGGTTTCCTGGGGTCTTATGGGGTTTCTCTGGGGTTCTATCTTATTCACGGGGTTTCCTGGGGGTCTTATGGGTTTCTCTGGGGTTCTATCTTATTCACGGGGTTTCCTGGGGGTCTTATGGGGTTTCTCTGGGTTCTATCTTATTCACGGGGTTTCCTGGGGTCTTATGGGGTTTCTCTGGGGTTCTATCTTATTCACGGGGTTTCCTGGGGGTCTTATGGGGTTTCTCTGGGGTTTCTATCTTATTCACGGGTTTCCTGGGGGTCTTATGGGGTTTCTCTGGGGTTCTATCTTATTCACGGGGTTTCCTGGGGTCTTATGGGTTTCTCTGGGTTCTATCTTATTCACGGGGTTTCCTGGGGTCTTATGGGGTTTCTCTGGGGTTCTATCTTATTCACGGGGTTTCCTGGGGGTGTTATTTATGGGGTTTTCAGGGGTAAAAGCAGGTAATATCAAGTTAATGTTCAGTTATTATGTGATCAAGACGTTGATGTTTGTAGAAAACCATAAATAAAAACATACAAGGTGATATATTGATGAAAATACTGACGTAATGGAGGAGGAGAATTACTCTGCAGTCCTCAGCAGACAGCAGGAACAGCAGATAGCAGACAGCACCTTTTTATTTGTTATTCCTGGTAATTTACTATGTTACTATGTAAAATAATTGTATATATGTGTAACTGTAACTAAATAAATTTAATAGCAGCAGCAGACAGCAGTAATAGCAGACAGAAGAACACAGCAGATTTTTTTTTTTTTAATCTTAGGTAATTTACTGTGTTGTTGGTATTTTATTTAAGATATATAACAATACATGGTGTAATAAGTAATATTTCTGGGATTTATGATGTGTTAATAATAAATAAAGTCAATTAATATGGCTTATCTCAATTGGATTCCGCTATTTTACCTTTTTTTTTTTTTTATCTCCTAAGATGCAACCCATAGGGGTCAGGACTTGCCCTAAACCATAAGGGTTTAGCGCCTCACTACCAAGGTTGGTGACAGGGTATTTAATTTAATTAAATAGACATTTTTAAAGAATTTAGAATGTAGGGAAGTAAATATGTAAGCTCTGGAGCTAGTTTAAAATAATTTTTAATTCTTATTCACGCATTTTTATTAGATATTACGCAGAATCATTTATGATAAAATATGTAAAGAGTACATAGGGAATGTAAGTTTATATTTATTACAAGAAAATGGATAATAAGGAGAGGAAATATTAAGGAAATATGAAACGAGTCTAGAGGTTGAAGGTGGCGGGAAGCAGCAGTGTTTACAAGCTCACAATGGCTGCCACACAGACCGACCTCCGCCACTTTTTCAAGGCTAGGAAGAGTTCCCGCGACGCCAACTTGTTTAAAAATGGCAAGAATACAAAGTCTGGGATTGTGTCCAAGAGAGTACAGGCGAGGAAGAGTGATACTGCCGACATTGCTGAGTTATTAGGGAGAGTGACTAGCGGGAGTGTGTCCAGGCTGCTGCCTCAGACTGACCGGGTATGGTTACTACCACTTTTCTAACTCTCTTAATTAACTTTATTTTTATTACAGAACGGGATCATCATCAGCTGGATGTAACGGATGCAAATGTATGCTGTACCGCTGCAGTTCCTACCAGGGGTCGCACGTATGAAATAACTAATGAACAACTACCAAAATTTTTTGGGTTAATAAAAATTATAATTTTAATAATAATATCTTTACTTCTACAAGTACATGTACAAGATATACAGGTCTAGCTGACATCAATGACATACTACTATATAGAAAGCTGCTTGTTATGCAGAGCATTTCGGGCAAATTAGGTCAGTTTTGTCCCAGGATGCGACCCACACCAATCCACTAACACCCAGGTACCTATTTTACTGATGGGTGAACATAGACTGTAGGTGTCTTATGGAAACACGTCCTAATGTTTCCACTCATACCGGGGATTGAACCACAGACCTCAGTGTGAGAGTTGAGTGTGCTACCAACCAAGCTACAGATATACAAAATTACAATTATCATACATAGTGTAAATTACTAAAGATAACTCAAAGAAAAGTGACTTATTTCCATTGGGGTTATCCTATGTAATTTATAGATATGTTACCAGGTATGAAAACTGTACTTGTGTACCTGTACCTAAGTAAACTTATTTCTTACTCAGACAAGTTTAACTATGACAATACCTGCTACCTGGAGTCTACCTGGAGGGTATTCCGGGGATCAACTCCCCCGTGGCTCGGTCCATGACCAGGCATCCGGGTGGATCAGGGCCTGATCACCGAGGCTGTTGCTGCTGGCCGTGTGTAGTTTGACGTATGAACGACAGCCTGGCTGATCCAGTGCTACCTTTAGGTATCTGGCCAGTTCCCCCTTGAAGACAACCAGGGGTCTATTGGTAATTCACCTTAGGCCTGGTGGGAGGCTGTTGAACAGTCTTGGGCCCCGGATACTTATTGTTTTTTTCTCTCAGTGTACTAATGGCACCCCTACTTTTCACTGGACGTATGTTGCATCGCCTGCCACAGTTATACCTACCGTAGTCCACATATTACCTGGAGAGAGTTCCAGGGGTCAACGCCCCCGCGGCCCGGTCTGAGACCAGGCCTCCTGATGGATCAGAGCCTGATCAACCAGGCTGTTGCTGCTGCCTGCACGCAAACCAACGTACGAGCCACAGCCCGGCTGATCCGGAACTGACTTTAGGTGCTTGTCCAGTGCCAGCTTGAAGACTGCCAGGGGTCTGTTGGTAATCCCCCTTATGTGTGCTGGGAGGCAGTTGAACAGTCTCGGGCCCCTGACACTTATTGTATGGTCTCTTAACGTGCTAGTGACACCCCTGCTTTTCATTGGGGGGATGGTGCATCGTCTGCCAAGTCTTTTGCTTTCGTAGTGAGTGATTTTCGTGTGCAAGTTCGGTACTAGTCCCTCTAGGATTTTCCAGGTGCATATAATCATGTATCTCTCCCTCCTGCGTTCCAGGGAATACAGGTTTAGGAACCTCAAGCGCTCCCAATAATTGAGGTGTTTTATCTCCATTATGCGCGCCTTGAAAGTTCTCTGTACATTTTCTAGGTCGGCAATTTCACCTGCCTTGAAAGGTGCTGTTAGTGTGCAGCAATATTCCAGCCTAGATAGAACAAGTGACCTGAAGAGTGTCATCATGGGCTTGGCCTCCCTAGTTTTGAAGGTTCTCATTATCCATCCTGTCATTTTTCTAGCAGATGCGATTGATACAATGTTATGGTCCTTGAAGGTGAGATCCTCCGACATGATCACTCCCAGGTCTTTGACGTTGGTGTTTCGCTCTATTTTGTGGCCAGAATTTGTTTTGTACTCTGATGAAGATTTAATTTCCTCACGTTTACCATATCTGAGTAATTGAAATTTCTCATCGTTGAACTTCATATTGTTTTCTGCAGCCCACTGAAAGATTTGGTTGATGTCTGCCTGGAGCTTTGCAGTGTCTGCAATGGAAGACACTGTCATGCAGATTCGGGTGTCATCTGCAAAGGAAGACACGGTGCTGTGGCTGACATCCTTGTCTATGTCGGATATAAGGATGAGGAAACATATGGTGCAATGTGTGATGTATTCTCTACCTCATTGCTCTGCAATTAATGGTGTCATTCACCTTGTTTGTTACTGATTAATTTTGTTCTTTTTTCTTTGTTATAGATAAATTCTTCTGTTTTAATTTATCTTAAATTATTCATATTTGCTTAATTATTTTTTTACCACATTTTGTGTTATAATTTACTCTATCATAGACTTGTAATCATTGTCTTTATTTCATAACTGATTTTATTTTGTCATAAATAGTCATGCCAGCTAAGGAAGTTATTCATTTCTCACTCAATTCCTTATATCACTAGTAATTAATTACTTATGTTAACTTAGTAAATCATTTTGCTATCAGTTTCTAGCTAAAGTTTTCACAAGTAAACCTTTGATTTACTGTTTGCCAGCATTGTTCTCATTTGACGATGTAACAGACTAGGATGTAATTGGACTGTATACATTCTTTTATTTAAGCTTACTGCTTATGTGTTTATTCAATATTTTTATTAGTTTCTGAATAGTTTAGGGGGTAGGGGTGGTCATCCAGCAGGTGTGAAGGGATTCAAGGAAACTGGTTACTTAGACTTGAGTCCTGGAGGTGGAAAGTACAGTACCAGCATTCTTAAGGATGATTGGGGATATTCGAAGTTTGGAGGAGCATTGGAACTGTAGTATTATCACGCCTTTAGCAAGACAGTGATGGAGTGAGTGGTGGTGAAAGTGTTTTTTCTTTTTAACACTAGATGGCTAGTGTGTTAAATAAAAAGTGCATATGCTTCATACAGATTTTTAAGGAGGTCATTTATTTTTCAGACTAAATCTGAAGAAAACTCAACTGTTTCATCTTGTCATTTGAGAGGTGAAGAAAAATCCACACTGCCAGTAACTCCTAAAAGAAAAAGGGATGTTGATGAAGAAACTATAAGAAAGAAAAGAAAGCAAATTGTAGAGGACAATGGATTCAAAACTCCTGATAATAACAAGAGTATCATCAGTGTTCAGCCTGAGACTACACAAAGATCAGCTAAGAAAAAGCTTATCATGACTTCTGGAGAGAGAGATGCACAACACGAAAGTGAGGTAGAGTATGTATTTTTCTTGAAGATGTGTCGTGTATATCCACGGTGTGAGATCAGGTCTTATGTACATTGTTTAGTTGCATTCCTAAGCTTTTTCTTGCTTCCATTCTGTGTTCTTCCATTTTACTACTATTCCCCAAGATTTGCATGCTTCACAATCGTGGACAGCTTTGCTTATATCCATGTTTTATTTAATGCATTTTTTCTCAGAGGGCTTACCATATAAATTGAGTTAATATTATGATTTCAATCAAAATATCTTTTTTCTTTCTGACTTTCAATATTAAGCAGATTAGAACAATATTTAGAGAGATTTGGCTAGAAAGATTATAAATAATTCAGACAAGTAAAATTTCCTACTATCAGCAGCTTGAGAATTCAGTCACCTACAGCATTCTAACCTCCACAGATTTAGTGGTACAGCTGTACTTTTAAGCTCCTCTATTAGTAGAAGGTAGTGGAAGGAACAGCCTTGATGCTGTATTTACTACTGTCTGTAAGCAAATAGTTTGTAATGTACATAAAAATGAGATACAACTTGGAATTTGCCTCTTAATGCTGTAATAATATTGTGATCTACATGTTAAGGTATGGTTTTAATACTTAAAAGTTTGAATCATATCTTTATCTTCAGATACACAGCTGGAGTGCATCAGTAATGGAAATCAGTAAGGGACTGTATGTAATAAAGTTGGTAGAATTACCGACAATATGTAAAGTAAAAGGACACAAGTGCAACTAATGTGACATTTTATTGTGGCAACGTTTCGCTCTCCAGGAGCTTTATCAAGCCATTACAAACAATACATGGACACAGAGGGTATATAAAGGCTCAGAGTGAGGTGCAATACTAGTGAGGTACCATTTCGATGTTCACTAATGGTAGTAGTAGTGACAAAAGTTGTAGTAGTAATAAAATATGGTAGAGCAATTAATTCGTACATGAGTAAAGGATATAAAAGCTATTACTTGGGTAACATAAAAATAGGTTGGACAAATATAGACTGGAAAGAGGCAGCTTGTTTCAGTGTTCACTCTCTGTAATGTGCTTTGTGTAGTATAACAGGAGAGACTATATTGAAAGAAAAACAGTTGAAATTAACACAGTTCAATCAAGTCAACAAAATCTCCGGGAGGTAGAGGAAGATTAAGGTTCTGATTGACTTTACGTCGTAGAACCTCGATGGCTTTTTTGGTAGGTACTTTTGTGAAGTACCTACCTTACCTCTTCACAAGAGTACCTACCAAAAAAGCCATCGAGGTTCTACGACGTAAAGTCAATCAGGACCTTAATCTTCCTCTACCTCCCGGAGATTTTGTTGACTTGATTGAACTGTGTTAATTTCAACTGTTTTTCTTTCAATAACAAGCTCTACAAACAAACCTATGGCATGGGAATGGGGTCACCCATCAGTGCCGTCCTAGCCAACTTATACATGGAACACCTAGAGTCCGAACACTTCGCCAACATCGTCCCTTCAAGCGTCACTTGGTTACGTTACGTGGACGACGTCCTCGTAATAACTCCCAAACGTTTTGATGTACGGAATCTTCAGGCAAGGCTCAACGCATTTGAACCGGCGATCCTTTTTACACTGAAGAAGGTCCAATGAAAAGCACCTTTCTCGAGTCCATTCCAAAGGAGAAACCAAGATTTCAAGTTTATGGGAAAACCCCCACCAATAAATGTCTCCAACACTTCATTCCAGAAGTCCAGCCCAAAAGAGGCTATCATCTTGCGAGGAATGTACATAATTCCCCAAAACATTCATGGTTACATTTTCCTTTTTTTTTCATAAAAGTGAAAAAAGGGGCTTCAGTCTTTAATTCCCCACGCACCAACACCCCCCCAAAAAATTTTAATTCTTCCCAACACCAGGTTGCACAAAAACTTTCAAAGTACTTTCAAAAGAAACACCAGAGTCCCCACGTTTTAGCACTTAAAAAAGGATTAAACCCCGGACAAAATCCAAGCACCACGAACCCCAAGGCAGGATTTACACTATCCCCTGTGGAGGCGTGACAAGTTTACATGGTAAAAACAGAAAGAAACCCGACCCCCGCCTCGATGAACACTTTATGCATGTAGGAACGATAACTTGAAAACCCCTGGTAAAACCCCGTAAATTCACCGTACCTATAAAATTTCCCAAGCCCCCCCAAATCAGGTCAAAGAAACTAATTTCCCGCAACGCAAGTGTGAATCAGCATGATCGCTGTTTCAAATACAATTAAAAAAAAACAACGGCGCTTCACCATTTGAAGTCTTACAGAATCCCCCAAAAACAGAAAAACCCTGCCATAAATATCTCTCCTGTTATATCACAAGCCATTAAAAGGGGTGAAACTGAAAAAAAGCTGCCCTTTTTCCCCGTTTAATTTGTCCAACCTTTTTTTGTTCCCCCAAGAAATGTTTTTTTATCCTTGTACTCAGTACGAATTAATTGCTCACCATATTTTATATTTTTCCCAAATTTTGTCATACTACTTCACTATGAACATCGAAATGGTACCTCACTGTATTGCACCTCACTTGGCCTTTATACCCCCTGTGTCCATGATTGTTTGTAATGGCTTGATAAAGTTTGGAGACTAAACGTTGCCACAATAAAATGCAATTAGTTGCACTTTTGTCCTTTTTTTCTTTTCAAGGGATGTATGTATACATAAAAAGCAAATAGTTTATTCCATAATTCAGTAGCTAAGGGCCAAAGGGCTTTTAATATAAAAGTAGAGATAAGAATTTTTTAAAAACATTTTGTCTTAAACTTTTTTTTGGTGTAAAATTTCTCTGTCAGAGTTCAAGGTTTTTGACTAAAAAAAAAATCATGGCAAAAATGTTTTTGTATAAAAAAATTAACCTGAAAAGATAATGACCGGATGCTGAGGGGAGTTTATTGCAACCCTTTTTATTACTTTAAGTAAAGTTTGCTTTTTTATTATAGTTGGTAGAAATGGTGGGCCCCGAATTTGTGTTCTCGGAG